TATGTGTATATGTTTATGTGTGTGTGTATTCCCAGCTTAGTATAATGCAGGCCAGGTTGATAGTAAACTGCTTAATCAATTTTGTTCATTCATTCATTCGTTCATTGCTGTGTCTCAGCGAAGTTCACTTTCATGCATATGTCTTCCAAATAATATCTCTTGTCCTCACACCCACATTCCAGTTCTGTTTTTCCAACTGCTTACACATTTCCCCTAGACTCCTCTTGTCACTTCAAACTCAAGTCTAAAATTAAACCAGTCACCATTCCCCGGCTTTCCTTCCCCAATTGGCTGCCTCTGTCCGTGCGTAAAATCATTCTCTCAGTCAGCCAGACTCACCACCTTGTACTCCACTTTGATTTTTCCCTCTTCTTCATCCCATCTCCCGACAGCTACTCCGTTTTTCCTGTGAAATATTACTTATTCATCTCTTCCCATCCGGGCTCATTGCCACCACCCTCTGAGATCAAAACCTTTTTATCACTGCCTGGATTTCTTTAGCAGCTTCATTGGTAATCTCTTTGACTAGACTCTACCTTTTCTAATCAGAATCTCCCACCACTGCCAGATTAAACTAAGGCAGGATTTTCATCATTTTCTTTCCTTCCTGCTGAAAAAATCTTCAATACTATTTTCCACTGTTATGTGTTAAGTTTCTTGCACGATTAAAAAAAATTATCAATGCCCTTTTGTTTTTATATCACCCTCATTTCCTAATGTATTTCTATTCTTCCCAGTCCTTGTAACAAAGGATTTTTTAAAAATTGTGGGGCGGGGGGGGCGGGGAAGAGGGGAGTAATTCAGTAAAATTTACCAAAACATCAAATAAGTCTGTATGTTTTCCACCCTGCAAAAATGAAAACAGGTACATTTTCTCGTGCCTTCTGGATCATTATAATTATGCATGATTCAGTTTGGGCTTTTGTTTTTCCCATTTAAATTATTGTACTATATTGTTTTCCTGGGTCTGCTTATTTTGCTGTGCATCAGTTAATTTAAATCTCATGTTTCTCTGAATTCTTTGTATTTGTTTCTTAGGATATATTCCATTATATTCATGTACCACATCTTATTTAGCTATTTCCCATTGAAAGGGCATCTATTTTATTTCCACTTGTAGTCTGTGAATATGTTGGGATATAAGGAATGTGCTGGTAAATGTTTAACAACTGGTTCTCAAAAAAAAGAGGTGTACTTGATACATCTTTAAGTTTTATCTACATTAATATTCTCTCCATCATTTTATTAAGTCTAGACAGTAAACAAAATAATAAATCAAACAATAATTTGTGGCCTTTGCTAATTTCTACAGTATAAAAGCTCACACTGAAAATTTAACAATTGGCCCTCCATGGGGACACACCTCTGTGACTTCCTTGAGGTATATATGCCTGGCAGTGAAATCTCTGGGTCAGAGGGTATGAAACATTTTAATTGCTTTTTAAGCATAATTCCAAATTGCAATTACAGAATGGTTGGACCAATTCATAGCTCCATCAATAGTGCATCGATAGACCTTTCTTTCCATGAGCCCTCCATCACTGACTGTTCCCATCTTTTGACATCTTTGCCCATTTGCTGGGGATGAGATGAAACCCCAGAGCTGTTTTGATGTTTGCATTTTTTCAGTTAGTAGTGATTTGGGGCATTCTTTCATATAGGTTTTAATAGTTTGTAATTTTTTTTCAGAAGTGTTTATTCATATCCTTGGATCAATTATCCATTGGGGAAGGTCTGTCTGCCTGACTTTCAAGGCCTTTAATGATCGTATGTCCTCAGGCAGTGTGGTCCAGGAGAGAGAGAGAGTACTAGATTTGGAGGCAGGAGACCTGGGGTCACATCTTGGCTTTGACATTTGCCACCTGGACAAGCAAGCTAACTTCTCCAGGCATCTTCTAGAAGCCAGAAGGGGCCTGAGTTGACCTAGGTCAACCCCTTCATTTTACAAATGAGGACATTGAGGTCTAGGAGGTGAAGTGATTTGCTTCACGTCACATAGGTAGTAAATTCTAAGGGTCAGATTTGAGCCAAGAGTTAATGCTCTTAATCAGGGAAATGTTACATGGGAAATATAAAGTCCTCAGTTTAGGTTCAGAAAATTAATTGTACCAAGTACAAGATGGGGGGATTTAGTTTATAATAGGCTGAGTGTGCCAAGTGATAAATTGGTGGCCAAAAATGCTATTTCAGCACTCAGATACACTAATAAACAAATTTTTTCCAATTCAATTTAATTCAGTAAATACTTAAGTGCTTATCATGTGCCAAGTTCTGTGCTAGGTGCTGAAGATACAAGGACAAAGACTAAAAATACCTACCCTCAAGGGTCTTCTATTTTATTGAGGTCCTGCCACATGTCCACAGCTAAATAAATCTCAGGAATGTCGAAGGGTAGAGAGTGACGTGATCTGACCTGTACTTGAGAAAGATCATTTTGACAGCCCAGTGGAGGTTGGATTGGGGTAGAGAGAGGCTTGAGGAAGAGAGACTCACCTCGAAGCTGTGACAGTAGTCCAGGTGTGAGGTGATAAGGAATTGCGCCAGGGGGATGACAGTATCAGAGAAGAGAAGGGGGGGAATATACAAGATATATAATGAAGGTAGAAAGACCAGGCCTTGACAACAGCTTGGATATGGGGGCTGAGAGTTAATAATGGGTTGAGGATGACATCTAGGTTCTGAGCCTGTGGAACTGGAAAGATGGTGATGCCCTCAACAGTAATGTAGAAGTTGGGAAATGGGGAGGGTTTGGGGAAAAGATAATGAGTTCAGTTTGGGACATATTGAGTTTAAGATGTCTACAATTCTAGATGTTGGAAAGGCGGTTGGAGATTGGAGGTCAGCAGAGTTGGGGGCGGGAATTAACAGCATAGAGATGGTCATTAAATCCATGGGAGCTGATGAAATCACCGAGTGTAGTATAGAGGGAGAAGAGAAGAGGGCCCAGAACACTCACAGTCGGAGAGAGTGACCTGGATGGAGAACCTGAAAGAGAGCAGAAAGAGCAGTCAAGTAGGGAGGAGGAGGACTAGGAAAGGGCAATGTCATGGAAACCTCAAGAGAAGGGAGAATCAAGGAGGAGAGCATGGTACCCAGCATCAAGGCTGAAGAGAGGTCAAGGACAATGAGGATTGGGAGAAGGCTGCCAGGTTGGCAGTGAAGAGATCCTAAGTCACTTTGGGGAGAGCAGTTTCAGTCAGATCGGCAAGCCCAACTGCAGGTAGCTCAGAAGACAGTGGGAGGGGAGCAAGTAAAGGCACCAGTGTAATTGGCCTCCTCCAGTTTAGCCATAAGAGGGAGGAGAGAGATAGTATGATAATAGTGACTGAGACTGATTGAGACAACTTGCTTTCATTAATTGTCCAATTAAACTTTCACTAGGCACCTCAGAAATTTGCAAATGCTGCAGATTGGGGCTTGATTTATTGCTGTTGTCTAGACTTAAGGAAAAGGTGGAGAAAATGGTAACAATGCATATTAAGCTTTAAAATGTGTTCTGCTTATATTCCTCCTCCCATCTCCTATACTCCCCCCAAGAGCTGGATGTGGACACACCCATTTACCAGCCACATTGTGGGGGGCTTCACCTGTCAGGCTGTGGATTTTTGTACTTCATCCTAGAAGCAGCAGGAAACCGCTGTCTAAATCAGTGGAAGGAATGAGTCCACTGTACTTTACCCTGCTACATGAGGACTTTTGTGTTTTGATTCCAGGGCTCACATTTTAAGAGGGACATTGATACACAAACATTCCATAGGAAGATGATGAGGATATTGGGAATTCTGAAGACCATGACACATCATGACTACTTGATAGGACCGGGGATAAAGTTCTCCTCCAAGAGGAGAAGACCAGGGCAAGAGTGGGGCATGACAGCTGCCTTCAGTTATGTGAAGGGATGTCCAATGGAAGAGAGATGAAACCAGAGGTTCTTTAACCTACAACCCATAAACTTGGATTTTAACACTTTTTTTATACTGTATTTCAGTAGAATGAGTTTCCTTTTTTGCTCCTCTGTATTTCATTTTATCCAGATAAGGCGTCCATCAGTGTTGTTCAGTTGTTCTCCATGACCCCATTTGGGATCTTCTTGACAAAGATACTGTTGTGGTTTGCCATTTTCTTCTCTGGCTCATTTTCCAGAGGAGGAAACTGAGGCAAACAGGGTGAAGTGACTTGTCCAGGGTCACACAACTAGTAAGTGTCTGAGGCCAGATTTGAACTCAGGAAAATGAGTCTTCCTGACTCCAGCCTCTGCCCTCTATCCATAGCACCATGTAGCATCAGATTTACTAGAATACCAGAGGGAGCCCTGACACTCAGAAAAGGTTCAGACTTTTTCTGTTTGATCCCAGGGGAGGGCAGAACTAGATGCAGTGGGTGGTAGTTGTACGTAAAAGATGGCAGCTCGGTGTAAGGTGGAGCTTCCCAAAATGAGAGATGTCCCCAAATGGGATGGAGGCAGTCTTGCAAAGTAGTGGTCAGTGTATCACTGGAATGGTTAACCAGCTGCTGAATGACTATGTGTGTGCGTGTGGTGGTGGGGGGGGGGTGTTACTGGGAAGTTGAACCAAATGACCTCCAAATGACCTCACCAGATCACAACCTAAGGAACCTTAGAGAATCTCTGACCCAGTCAACCCCATCCATTCACAGCTAAGGAGACTGAGACCAAGACAGGTTAAGGCAATCCAGTCACACAGGTAAGAAGCCCTTCCAACTCAGAGCCTCTCTGTTTCAGGTGTGGCCCATCTTCCAACTGGACTGTAAGGTCTTTGAGGGCAGGAATTGTGGCATATGGTTGCTTCTGTATCCCCCGAGGTCTGGAGCACTTAGGGAGTATTCCTTGAATAATGACTGATTGAGACCTTTTGCTTTCTCTGATTGTCCAAAAATCTCATGTGATCAAAGGCCCAGATTCATTCACTGGACACTTGTACAGTGTCAAAAGGAAGCCTTATTTCTTCCAATTAATTGTTATCTTACATTTTTTTTGACAGTTCGTCAAGATTTTGCTATCCTTGAAGATGGAGCCTTGGCTCATTGCTTGCAGAAACAAGAAAGTAAGTCTTTTTTTTTTTTTTTGGCTAGGCAATGGGGTTAAGTGACTTGCCCAGGGTCACATAGCTAGTAAGTGTCAAGCGTATGAGGCTGAATTTGAACTGAGGTCCTCCTGACTCTAGGGCTGCCAAAAGTAAGTCTTTAGAAGCCAAAATTATCCTGGCAGCACCATGGAAAAAAAAAAAAGCTCATTGAAGCATCTTGTTTTTCACATCACAAATATTTCCCAGCACCTGGTATTCTCCCCAGCTCCCTGTCCAAAGACACAGCAGGTGTCTCTATTTTACAAACAGACACACACAAGTAAACCAATCAACTCAATGATGGACAACTTGTGTATGTAGGGGAGGGGGTGTTTTAATTACATGTCCTCTGCAGCCAAGATTGGGCGTTGCATTTCAACCGAGTTCTTCTGCACTTTGGTTATTATTGTTATTTATGTTACAGGAGTCATTGCACATGCTCTTCTCGTGGTTCCATCTGTTTAAAAATGCATTCTCACTCATATCTCTTGTTTCCTCGGAAAGCCAATGCTTGTCTCAATGTTTAAAAGCCTGATTCCTCGCTTCCTCTTTGTGCCCAGCAGCGGCATCTCTGAGTAAGGCACGAGAATTCTTTCCTGATCTTTTGCAATTGATTGAACTTTGTGAAATTGAGACTTTCCTCTTGCGCACAGATCACAAAGAGCGGTAAGGTTAGGAATCGACGCTCAACCTGCTTCCAGGACTGGGATTCTGTCCGACTGGTCCTTGGCTTGCTTCTCTCCTTTAACTCTTGCTCAGCTGAATGTTATTTGTACTTGTACATTCAATATTTCTGAAAATAAAGATAAATAAGTATAAAAATAATAAATGAAAGATAAATGAAAAAGATTTTCAAAAACTAAATGAAAGAAGGAAAAATATAAAAGTAATAACTAAATCAAAGAAAACTAAAAAATAAAAGCCAGGATGAAAATAAGTGGATGAAAACAAACAAATAAATGAATGAGTGGACGGATGGATGGATGAATAAATAAATCTGCTTCTCTCTCAGGCCAAGCAGGGTGCTTCCCTGCCCTTCCTATCATATGCCACCCTGCTCGATGAAATACCTTGCTAGTCTTTCATCTAGGATTTCAGTCATCATTTGGGTAGTTAGGCAACGAAGTGGATAGAGCTCTGGGCCTGACATCAGGAAGACCTGAGTTCAAATCTGCCCTCAAACACTTACTAGTTGTGTGACCCTGGGCAAGTCACTTCACCCTGTTTGCCTCAGTTTTCTCATCTGTAAAATGAGCTGCAGAAGGAAATGGCAAAATCACTCTACTATCTTTGCCAAGAAAACCCCAAATGTTGTCACGCAGAGTTTGAAATGACTGAATGACAAATTTTTGGGGGTTTTTTTGGTTTTTTTCCTTTTTTCTTTTCCTTTTTTTTTCTGAATGACAAATTTTAATCATCAAATAGTTGGTCAATACAAACAAGATAATTGTAATACCACTTTGGAGATGGTTTAAAAAATAATCAACTTTTACATTTAAAAAAAATATACTTATATATCAACAAGAGCAATAATTACAGACAGTAAATGCCCCTGGAACTTCCCAGGAGGAAGTACCCCTGCCCAGCCATGAGTCCCCTGGATCTGTTGTTCCTTGAGGGCAAGGACCATCTCCCCTTTTTATTTGTATCCCCAGTGCTTTCACACAGTTTCTGGCATATTTGTTGTGGTTCAGTCATGCCTGACTCTTATTGACCCCATTTAGGGTCTCCTTGGCAGAGATACTGGAGTGGTCTGTCATTTCCTTCTCCAGCTCATTTTACAAATGAGGAAACTGAGGCAAACAGGGTATAAAGTGACTTGCCCAGGATTACACAACTAGTAAGTGTCTGAGGCTGGATTTGAACTCATGAAGATGAGTCTTCCTGACTCCAGGCTCAGCGCTCTATGCACTATGGTTCCACCTAGCTGCTTTCTGAGATTACCTTCCATCCACTCGGTATGTAGCCTATATGTCCATAATTATGTGTATGTTATTTTCTTCATTAGAACAGAAGCTTTCTGAGGGCAAGAACTGTGCTTTTGCTAGTGTAGGAGGGCGAATTTGAACTTAGGTCTTTCTGACTGCAGGCTCAGAGCTCTATCTACTGACCCACCTAGCCAAACAGAAATTTAGTGACTTGCCCAAGGTCACACAGTTAGTGTCTGAGGCTACATTTGAACTCAGGTTTTCCTGACTTTAGGCTCATCTCTCTATGTACAGCATCACCTAGCTGCAATGTCTGACACATTGTAAGGCTTAATAATTCGGGTCTTCTTGACTCCAAACACAGCCCTTCTGGCACTTTAAAAAAAACCCTTTATTTTTCAAGCTTTTGGCACCATTAACCAATTAAAAAGGTCTCAAGATGGATATTGGGATGTTTACCCCCTACTTAAAGTCGGAAAATTGATATCAATGTGTGGTGCCTCATTCTCCAAATGCCTAATCCTTTGACTTCTCCACTGGAATTTTTTTTATTATTATTTTAATGGACAGTGTTCTTTTAATGGTTCCCATTTTAGGACTTAATGGAAAGCAGGCTGACATCAAGGTTTTATAGACAAGGGCCATTAAAAGAATGGCATAGAGATGGCCTCTTGGGACAGCCAACCTCTCTGTGATCCCCTGTGACTGGAGCAAATCACTCTCTCTGTCCTCGCCTCAGTTTCCTCATCTAGAAAATGAAGGGATTGGACTAGATGACCTCCTAGACCCTTCCATCTCTAAATAGGAAAGAAGGAAGGAAGGAAGAAAGGGAAGAAGGAAGGAAGGAAGGAAGGAAGGAAGGAAGGAAGGAAGGAAGGAAGGAAGGAAGGAAGGAAGGAAGGAAGGAAGGAGGGAGGGAGGGAGGGAGAGAGGAAGAAAGGAAAGAAGGGAAGAAGGGAGGAATGAGGGAAGAGGAGGGATAAAGAATGAAAGGAAAGAAGAAAGGTAAGAAGGAGGGAAGAGAAGAAAGGAAGAAAGGAGGAAGGAAGGGAGAGATGGAGGGAAGGAGAAAGGAAGGAAGGAGGGATGGAAGGGAAAGAGGAAGAGAAGGAAAGGAGGAGGAAAGGAGGATGGAGGGAAGGAGGGAGTAAGGAAGGCTTTTCTGCAGGCAATAGTCTCAGAACAGGAGATTCTGCACCTTTTTTTTTTGTCCTGAACCCTTCTGGCAGTCAGTCTGGGGAAACCTACCCTTACAATTATGTCTTTAGATGCAAAAACTAAAGTACAAAGGATTACAAAGGAAACTGATTATATTGAAATAGAGTTACCAAAAAAATTTAATTTAAAATTTAAAAAAATTTAATTCACAGACCCCAGGTTAAGACTCTCTGTTTGGAGCACGCTCTGGGACACTGAAAGTTTGAGTGACTTGTCCAGGGTCACTAAACCAGTAGCTGTTGGAGGTAGGGCTTGAACCCAGGTCTCCCTGCCTCTAAGGCCAGCTGTCTATCCACTAGGCCATGTTGCTTTGAAAACCATGAAAGCCTTATGAAAATGTGATTCATGATGATGTTACAAGTTTTGCTACAGATTTTTGGAGATCAGAGAGAAGTGACGCCAGTGCAGAGTCAAAGCCTTGCAGTCAGAAGAGCTGGCTTCACATCCCACTTGTGACGCCTCTCAGCTGTGAGACCACAGACCAGTTAATTTATCTCTCACTGCTTTCTTTCCTTCATCTGTAAAACGGTTATAATACCTATACTACAGAGCCCTCCTTACAGGGTTGGTTGTGAGGCTCAAATGAAATAATGTAGGGAAAGCACTCTGTGAACTTTAATGTTCTCTAACAACATCCATCATCGTCGTCATCATCATCATCATTAATATTATTATTACAAAGGCAGGTCTTTACACATCAAAAAGCCAGTTATTAGATTAATAATAAAAATAATAATAATCATTTTAATAACATCTGCTATGTGCCAGGCACCGTGCTAAGCGCCTTACAAATATTATCCCATCTGATCCTCACAACTGCCCTGGAGGTAGGTACTGTTATTTATAATCACTTTCTGACAGTCCTAACCCCTGGATGTGTGACCTCAATGTTGCTCCCTCCTCAGTCCCTGTCTGTGGCTGCAGCTTGAGTCGCCACTAGAGGGCGTTCCGAGTCTTTGGGGAACCCCAGCCTTTTCCCCGCCCCACCTACTAAATCCATGGTTAAGCATCACCTCTGTGGCCCTTAATGGGCTTCTGCAATCTCTCGCCGTCAAGACAGGTCCGTTATTCTATTTGCAGGCTTCAGGTTTGACTAAAGCTAGAACTGAAATGTCCTGCTCTGCTCCTGAGGTCAAAGACATCACTGTTGTGTGCTTCTGAATTGTCCCTACAGAGCCTCAGGTTTGCTGCCATTCCTTATTTGGAACACCCACTTTGGACCCAGGTCCCCTCCTCAGTCTATTCTGGACCTGTTATCTGGAATTGGGCAGTGGGCAACAAAGCCACCAATTGGCACCCATTCTTGCATTACCTGGTATGGGTATGGGGCCTCTTCTTAGGACCACAGCCTGACCCTATGATGTGGTCTAGAGGTTTAGGGGTGCTGGGACCCTGAGATCATGACACGTGGGTCCTGTCTGAAAGAATTCGACTCAAGCCTTCTTTGAGCCAAAGACAAAGTTTATTAAAGATCTGCCATATTAGCCTTCTGCAGTTTATTTTTATTTTGTTTTTGTTTTTGGCTAGGCAATGAGGTTAAGTGACTTGCCCAGAGTCACACAGCTAGTAAGTGTTATGTGTCTGAGGCCGGATTTGAACTCAGGTCCTCCTGAATCCAGGGCCGGTGCTCTATCCACTGCGCCACCTAGGGGCCCCTAGCCTTCTGCAGTTTAGATGCTGCCAGGGTGAACTGCCCAACAAAGAGGATTTGTTCGCCCAGCTCTGCTCAGCACAGGGCTTGTCTGGTGCCTTCCTTCCATCAGGGATTTAATTAGTATCTGTCAAATTGAATTGTTCCCACAAACCACTCTACATCCATCTTTCTGGATTTCTTTTGAAGTTTCCTCATAAATGATGTTTGCCTCTTTTCTTCACCTATTTTTTTTTAGGTGACTGGGGTTAAGTGACTTGCCCAGGGTCACACAGCTCCAACCCCAGATATTTTCACCGGCTGTCCCCCACGCCTAGAATGCTCTGTCTCCTCATCTCTGTCTAATGCTTCCCCTCTCTTACTTATCACCACTTCATCCTGTCTGTGACTTGTCTCCCCTGTTAGATTGGGAGTTCCCTGGGGCAGGGACTGGCTTTTGCCTCTCTTTGCATCCCTGGCACTTAGCACCATGTCTGCCTGCCTGCTGTATCAGTCCAATGAGGTCATCGGACCTCTGAGGTTCCTCCATGCACTAAATTTCTGATCTTATGACAATTTTCCCCGAAGCTGGTTATTTTAAAAGCCTCAGGATATTTCTTGAACGACTAAAGCAGGAAGGCAGGTCGAGAACTACGCAGATGCGTTTTGTTGCAAATAGAGTGTCTAATCAGGCTGTTCTACCTCCTTTTTTTCATACAGTCGAACAACATTATGCATCCAATGTGCAGAAGAGTCAGCTTGTTCAGATGGACATTCGGATAGCCCGGAAACTACAAGATGTGGAAAACCAGGGAAGCGAACTGGGAAAATCTCACCAACAGAAAAAAATGTAGGGGAACACTGAGCCTGCATCCTTCACCCCTAGTTTTTCTGTTCCACAAATTCTTTGAACTGCCCCCACCCATTTTTGTTTCTGTAACTCCTACTAGGGGAGGAAGCCTGGGGAAATGGAAAGAGAAGGGGATTTGTCATCAAAGGTTTTTTATTGTTTGGTCATTTCAGTTGTCTTTCACTCTTCATGACCCCACGTAGGGTTTTCTTGGCAAAGATACTGGAACAGTTTGCCATTTCCTTCTCCAACTCATTTTACAGATGAGGAAACTGAGGCAAACAGAGTGAAATGACTTGCCCAAGGTCATACAGCTAGAGTCTGAGGTCAGATTTGAACTCACAGTCTTCTGTGCACTATGGCGCCACCTAGCTGCCTGTAATCAGAGGACCTGGGTTTAAATCCTCTTCTTGCTTTCTGCGTTACCTTGAGCAAGTCACTTCTCTCTAGGCCTCTGTTTCTTCATCTGTTAAATAAGGGGCCATTCGTGGACAAATGACCTCCAACGTCCCTCCTGTCTCTAAGTCAATGATCCGATGATCTGATTAATGACAAAAATGAAATATTCTCTATCTCCTCCACTGCACACAGAGTAAGTCAATTAACCTTTCTGTCCTCAGTTTCCTCACCTGAAAAGAATGGTTTGGACTAAATGATGTCTGAGGGCTCTTCCAGTTCCAAACCTACAATCCTATAAAACACAACATATTTTCAGAGATTGCGGAATAAGATGTAAACTGAGACCATTTCATTTTTGTCCCTGTATCTCCAGAGGCACACAGTGCCTGGGCCATGTTGTTGTTGAGCTATTTCAGTTACGACCAACTCTTCATGACCCCATTTGGGGTTTTCTTGGCAAAGATACTGAAGCAGTTTGCCATTTCCTTCTCCAGCTCATTTGACAGATGAGGAAACTGAGGCAAACAGGATGAAGTGACTTGCCCAGGGTCACACAGCTAGGAAGTGTCTGAGGCCAGATTTGAACTCAGATCTTTCTAAGTCCAAGTCTAGTGCTCTATTTACTGCACCACCTAGCTGCCCTGCCTGGCCAGTAGTAGTTGCTTAATAAATGTTTGTTAATGGTTAGAAGCAGATCTAGAAGTTGGGTTATTCCTTTTGGGCCAGCAGGACCATTTCCCCATCCTTGCACACCAAGGTTGAAAATTGAACCTACCATAAAATAGGATGTTCTTTGTCCTCCGCTTACTCACTCTTCTCACTGATATTTAGGGAAGAGAGTGACTCCAAGCTGGCTCGATCAATCCAGGAAGAAATTCACCGGAAAGCAGAGGAGTGTCGGCAGAGAGAAGAAGACGACCAGGTGTGGGGCAGGATGGCGCCAGGGCTTTGGCCCTGCCCAGATTGAGTGGGGAATGTTGGGTTCCTGCTGAGGCACCATGGTGTCAGAAGGAGGTTAACAAGCTGGCAAGCATTTAGAGCACTCCCTGAAACCTATGACGTAACATTCAGATTTCTGGTTCTAATCCCTTGCTGGACAGTGACAATGTCCTTTGTAATTCCTTTGTCTACTGTTGTTCAGTCATTCAGTCATGCATGACTCTTCCAAGGACCATGGCCCACCATGCTCTTCTGTCTTCCACTATCTCTCTAAGGCTGTTCCAGCTCACCTTTGTTGCTTCCGTGACACCATCTCTCCATCTCATCCTCTGCCATCCCCTTCTCCTTCTGCCTTCAATCTTTCCCAGCACCAGGGTCTTTTCCAGTGAATCCAGTCATTTCTCAAAGGCCCATTTCAGTGTCAAGATCAATCTATCTCTGATGTCCTTGAGGAAGGTCCTCCCTTTACTGGTGGAGACTTCAGCCCTTCCTGTGCAGCTTGTCCATACCCTCCCATAAATCTGCCATAGAGGGTCCATCCTGGGTTCTGAGAGCCTCCCTTGTGTATGTTGAATTTATGGGCTACCAGCGCAGTACATAGGCAATCAGATACCCCTTGTGTTCCCTTTCCTTGGCCTCAGTTTCCTCATCTGTAAAATGAAGGGATCAAACTCGAGGCCCTCTGAGACTTAGATTGTAAGCTCCTTGAGGACAGGGCCTGTTTTTTGCCATTCTTTATGTCCCCATTGCTTAGCACAGTGCCGGGCACATAGTAGGTACTTAATAAATGCTTGTTGGCTGACTCTAAGATTCCTTTTAGTTCTAAATCTATAATCCTGTAACCTCTGACATAGAAAGATCTAACAAATGCTTGTGGCTTGAAGAGGTCTGTGCTTTTAACAACCTGAAAGGTCGTGACTCTTTTGAATTATTTTTAATAATAACAATTCATAGGATGCTTTAACAGTTGCAAAAACTTTTACATACATTATCTCACTTGATCCTCATGACAACATTGTGAGGTAGGCGTTATAGCAACATTATCCTTGTTTTGCAGATGAAGAAGCTGAGGCTTAGAGAGGTTAAATGACTTGGAGGATCTTAGGAAGGAAAACAAGCATTTATTAAGTGCCTATTATATACCAAATGCTGTGCTAAGCACTTCATAAATATTGTCTCATTTATCCTCACAACCACCTTGGCAAGGAGGTGCTATTATGATTCCCATTTAACAGTTGAGGAAATTGAGGCAGGCAGAGGTTAAGTGACTTGCCCAGCTGGTAAGTATCCAAGGCTGGATTTGAAACCAGTTCTTCTCGACTCAAAAGTCCAGCACTCTATTCACAAAGACATCCAGCCTCTGGTGAGGCCTTTACTGAAATAATTTCTGGATCTCTATTTCCTCTTGGAGGTAGGAGGGTACAGAGGTTTAAGAAGTCCTGGGTTCCAATCTCATTTTTTATTTTTACCACCTGGGTGACTTTAGGAAAGTCATTTGATCTTTCTGAGCCTCAGTTTCCTCCTCTGTAAAATCAGGGTCATTGGACTAGATGGCCTTGCCTCCTAGATCCCTTCCAGCTCTACACCTATCATTCTATTTAATTCAATAAACAGTTAATGTTTATTTAATGTATTAAAGTGTCTACTATATGCCAGGCACTGTGCTAAGCAGTGGGGATGCAAAAAAAGGGGAAAAAGCAATCCCTGCCCTCAGGGAGCTTACAGCCTAATGGGAAAGACAACATGCAAACACACATATATACATATATATGTAAACATATATACATATATATGTAAACATATATATACATATATATATATACATATATATATATGTATATATATATATATATATATACACATACACACATGTACCAACCTATCCACAGTATAAATGGGGATTAAAGATAGAACGCACTGGAATTAAGAGGGATTTTGATTATACCTCTCTGATCACGCGTTTCCTTTCCCCTCATGAATTACAGTGACAAAATGAAAAAACAATAATAAGCCATCATCTTGTACCTTGGATTCCACTGTATGAATCGTCATATTTATTTTAGGACATGGTAGACTTTGGAGATGAGAGTCCTACTGGTAGTTGGTCTTCACTGCCCCCTTGTGGTGAAGGTTCTTTAGAGCCCTCATTTCCTTCACATTCCTCCTCTCATTGTTTTTTCTTTCATAAAGAAATCTGAAAGGGTCCAAGATTTAGAATTGGAACCATTGCCATTATAGAGATGAGAAAACTGAGACCCAGAGAGTAAAGAGATTTATCCAAAGTCATCCAGGTACTTAAGTAGTAGGGGTGGAATTTGAACCCAGGTGTATTTTAGCTCCAGAACAATTAAGCACGTAGTAGGTGCTTAATAAATGTTTATTGATTGATGTTTCTCTAATTCTACCTTAGTAAATTCTTACAGAAGGATTTGAGGATCTTTGAGCCTAGAGACAGCGAGAACAGTTGGGTTCTCTTGCACCATGTGATTTTGCCCCCTTCCTTGGCAGCCCAATGGATAGAGCATTGGGCCTGGAGTCAGGAAGACTTGAGTTCAAATCCTTCCTCAGGCACTTATTCTCTGACCCCAAGAAAATCACTTAACCCCTGTCTGCTTCAGTTTTCTCATCTGTAAAATGGGGATAATAATAGGACCTACCTCCTAGGGCTGTTGTGTATCCTACCTGGAGAAAGTGTTTATAAAGCACTTTGCAAACCTTAAAGAACTATATAAATGCTAGCTAGATAAATAGGAAGGCTATTATTATCAGTATTACATCCAGCACTTCTGGGTACAGCTGGCCACATAAATCTGGGAATTGGTTACCCTAAACTGAGACTGTAGAAAAAAAATAGAGTTCAGAGCAGCTAGTTGGTACAGTGGATAGAGCACCAGCCCTGAAGTGAGGAGGACCTGAGTTCAAATCTGGCCTCAGACCAAACACTTGACACGTACTAGCTGTGTGACCCTGGGCAAGTCACTTAACCCCAACTGCCTAAAAAAAAAGAGAGAGAGAAATAAAAAATAGAATTCACATGACCATATTGTTCTCGTGGCTGAGTGGTCATTCAGAGCTTTGCCTGACAGTTGCTCCCCACACACAGGTGACCAGCAAAATCTGACTACCCTAGGAGTGGACATTGTAGCTCTGTGATCTGTAAACATGACATCTCAGATTCTCAGTTAGAAGGACCTTAGATTCTGAGCTGAAAGGAAACTTTGGGGTCAGTGAGGCAAATACCCTCATCTTACAGATGAGGAAATTGGGGTTCACTGAGGTCAAGTGACTTATCCAAGGTCACACAGGTGTCTGTGGCAGGTTTTCAACTCAGAGCTTCTTGACCTCACATTTAGTGCCTTAATCATTATACCACCTTATCTCTCAAGGACTCTGTAATTCTGGAGGGTTCACAGATTACCTAGATACATAGCTAGATAGCACTAGACCATGATTTTCTCCTATAACTGCAAGTCTCTTGTTCCTAAAGTTTACCATGTCCAAAAACAAATATGGTGGGAGCATATTGACTTGGAAAACCACAAATTAACATTATCTATGTTGTTTTATATTTTTAGTTATTTTGTTAACCATTTTCTGATCATATTTTAATTTGGTTCAGCTGTACTGGGGAGTTTGGTGCTGGGAGCCAAAGAGTGCTGGCCTCATTACTTTCCTTTGAATAGGATCCAGTTCATCAGTGTCTTCCCTATTGCAATGGAAAGTCAAAGGCTCAAGGTTCAGATCCTGACTCGGTCACTTACTTATCTGTGTGACTTGAGCAAGAGGCTGAATTTCTCTGAGTCTCAGTCTCCTGATCTATGAAATGAGAGGGCGGAACTAGATGACCCTTCCAGCTCAATATCTATGATGCTATGACCCTACAGTTCAGCACCCAGAACTGGGCACAGTTCTTAGGGACTAAAATGTTTTCATGCAGGTGTTTCTTTTAATTGACAATAGAAACCAATGGAAAAATTATATCCTACCATAAATGGGGTAGCATAGCTGGGGGGCGGGGTAGGGCGGAAAGAAGGAAGAGGAAGTTAATAACCAACTTTTAATTTTTATTTATTTTTAAAATTTCTAATTTTTATTCTGAACTTAGCAAACACCACCTAAAATGAACATTTCCATGCACAATGGATAGCAGATAAATAAGATGTACAGGAAACTGCCAACCTCAGTTATGGTCAGCTTACTTTTTCTGTTACATATATAACATAGCATGCAGCTTTCAAAGGTGTCATATTTGTCTGTGTTTCCTTCTGTTCTTTTTAGTGCATTTAAAAATGTTCCTGTGAACCTCTTTTCTTTCATTTATTTTTTTGGCCATCCTTTCTCTATTCTTTTCTCTTTACCCTCTACCATGGAAAAAAGGAAGGAAAGAATGAGAGGAGGGAAGGAGGAAGGAAGGAAGGTAGGAAGGAAGGAAGGTAGGAAGGAAGGAAGGAAGGTAGGAAGGAAGGAAGGAAGGAAGGAAGGAAGGAAGGAAGGAAGGAAGGAAGGAAGGAAGGAAGGAGGAAGGAGGGAGGAGGGAGGAGGAGGGGAGGGAGGGAAGGAAGGAGGGAGGGAGGGAGGGAAGGAGGGAAGGAAAGAAGGAAGGAAGGAAGGAAGGAAGGAAGGAAGGAAGGAAGGAAGGAAGGAAGGAAGGAAGGAAGGAAGGAAGGAAGGAAGGAAGGAAGGGTAAAAACCTTGTAATAGCTATGTACATGTTGTATCTGTGGCCTCTCTGTCAGGAGGCAGGAATACCCAACTTTTTACAAGTGCGTGGTGTACAGAGCAAAGTCGACTGGCATGGGTAGGTTTCACCAGCCTGCTTCAAATGCCTAAGAGGGCTCCCAAGGGCTATTTTCTGAGTGTTTTGGTTTATCCCTTTTCCTGCTTATTTGAGAAGTCTTTGTTTTTCTCCTGTCACAGGAAATGGCCAAGAAATTGCAAGAGTTAGAAGAAGAGGCGTCTTTCCTTCCAAGCTCCCACAGCATGAGAGGTATAGAACCGAGGAGGAGAGCAGAAATGAATCCAGTCCCTGACTGGTGGTGGTGGTGGTTTCTTTTTCACCATCAATTTTTATTGATATCTCTGTCTTTTCCATTGTTGATATTTGCCAACATAAGTTATTCCTTATAACAAAAAAGAAAAAAGATTTTAAAAAAAATTCAGCAAAATTAGCAAAAACTTTGAAAAAGATCAACGGTCTTCACAGTGTTCCGCACCCATAGTCCCCACCTCTTCAAAAAACGGGACCAGTGGGTGGGCAGGGGCATGCCTTCTCATATTTCTTCTTAAGATTCAGACAAAGGTGTCGTATTCTGAAATATTCATGTGAAAAATTGTCCCAGATAAACAATAATAAGAGAAATGTATAGCATAACAACTCTAAGCCTTCACCTCACACCCAGAAAAAATGGCAAAGATGCCAAAAGATGGGAAACTGAATGCCATCTAAAATCACACATATTTCACCAATTATGATTTATGCAGCTGGTGGCACAGTGGATAGAGAGCTCTGGGCCTGGAGTCAGGAAGTCCTGATTTCCAATCAGGACTCAGACACTAGCTGAGCAACCCTGGACAAGTCCTTTAACCTCTGTTTGTCTCAGTTTCCTCGTCAGTAAAATGGGTGTTATAATAGCACCTACCTACTACTATAAAACAGGGATAATTATAGGACCTACCTTCCAGGATTGTTATGAGGATCAAATAAGGTATTTGTATAGCACTTAGCATAGGGCCTGGACCATACTAGGCACTATAGAAATGCTTATTCTCTTCCCTTCCCTTTAATCATGCCTACACTCCCTTGTATAGTAATACTATATCAGTATTTACCATACCAGGTAGCCAGGTAGTACAGTAGATAGAGTGCAGGCCTGGAGTCAGGAAGTCTTGAGTTCAAATTCAGCCTTAGCTGTGTGACCCTGGACAAGTCACTTAACCCTGTTTGCCTCAGTCTCCTCATCTGCCAAATAAGCTAGAGAAGGAAATGGCAAACCACTCCAGTATCTTTGCCAAGAAAACCCCAAATGGGGTCATGAAAAGTTGGACATAAACGAACAACAAATATACCATACTGCCTGTTCACTCTAATCTCACAGCAAAAATAGAGATATGTTGGGGCAGCTAGGTGGCACAGTGGATAGAGCCCTGGAGTCAGGAAGACCTGAATTCAAATCCAGCCTCAGACACTTACTAGCTGTGTGACCCTAGGCAAGTCACTCAAACCCCAATTGCTTTCTCCCACCAAAAAAAAAAAAATACCAAAGAAAAACAAGAAAAAGTAGTGGTATGTCTCCCACATCAAGAAATAAAGAAGATAAAATGGAGAAAGTCTTTTCACAAAGATTATCGTTGTTTTTCCTCAAAGGAAATAAAGAGGAAAAGTTTATATTTCAGCCCCTGAGAGCATTGAGGTGGAATCTTGTACTCTGGAGTATTGTGGTCAGCTGGGACACCAGAAAAGCATCAATAAACTCTCCAAAGGAGGCAGCCAGGATGGCAAAGGGCCTCAAGTTCGTGCTCTGTGAGGACAGGTTGAAGGAACTGGGGATGATGAGCCTGGAGAAGAGTGGGCTGGGTGAGGGGGAGCGTGACAACTGTCTTCAGATATCTGAAGTATTATCAGTTAGGTGCTGTTGCTCAGTCTGACTCTGCATGACCCCATTTGGGGTTTTCTTAATGGCAGAGATACTGGTTTGCCATTTCCTTCTCCAGCCCATTGGACAGATGAGAAAACAGAGGCAAACAGGGTTAAGTGACTTGCCCAGGGTCACCAGCTAGTAAGTGTCCGAGGCCGGATTTGAACTCATAAAGATGAGTCTTCCAGACTCCAGGGATGGTGCTCTGTGCATTATGGAGCCATCTAGCTGCCCATGGAAAAAAGGTTAGGGTTTTTTTTTCCCCTTTGGCCCCATAAGGCAGAACCAGAAACAATGGGGGAAAGTTGAAAAGAGGCCGACTTCGGCCTGTTATGAGAAAGAATTCCCTAACGATTAGACCACAGATCGTAGGTCTAGAGGCGGAAGGAAGCTCCGGGTCTTCTGGTTTTACAGAAGAGGAAATTGAAGCCCGGGGGTGTGAAGACCTGCCCAAAGTCACCCAAGGGAAAGATGGCATCAGAATGGGACCCGGTCCTCTGACTCCAAAGAGAGAGCTGTTTGCCCTGAGGAGAACCGTTCCTTACCCTCAGGCTCTCTAAAGCCTATGTGGTTTGGGGAAGAGGGAGGTCGTGGCAGATTGAAGGGTTGGACCTAAGATTCAATCAACAGAGGGAATTCCCAGTAAGGGAGCTTCCTCTGTTGGAGTAGGTCAGCTCTTCATGCGGGCCTTAGAGGCTTAGGATTTCATCTCTCTTGGTTGGGGACCGTTTCCTTATGGCGTCCAAGTCCCATTGCAGAAAGCTGTTGCCATCTGAAGGAAGATAAGACCTTCTGCAGATCAAAGAGTGCAGAGCGTGTGGCTGAAGGGCACCCAGCTTGTCTGGGTCAGAGAGAGGACTAGAACCTAGGTCTTCCATGCTCCAAGGCTGGCTCTCTACCTACCATGTCATGGATATTTTAAAAAATTATAGCTAAAAAATTCCGCTCTTCAGATATAGAAATCAGAGCAAGATACCCAGCTGGGGTCAAACAGGGGCCACTAAACTGGACGTAAGGATTCCCCGTATTGACCACATGTTGACTTAGTTTTAAAATGTAACGTTATCTATGTTTTATTGTGGTTTTACTTATTTTGTTAAATACTTCCCAGTTACGTTTTAATTGGGCTCAGGCAGCACTAGGGGGTCCCCTTGGCTGTGTGTTTGATACCTCCGCTCTAGAAATCCTTTCTTCAATCTGAGCTGAAGTTGATGGACGTGATTGCTTCCTCTTACTTAGATGTGAATCACCCCCAACATGACAGCACAGACTCCATCAACTGGCAGATGGCTGAATTGGAACTCCAGAGTCAGGAGCAGCTCCAACAAGATGAAGAATTGGCCTGGAGATTGCAGGAAGAAGAGGAGACTCACATAGTAGGTGCAGAAAAGTTCTTGACCCACACATTTTTCTTGATCATTTCAGACAAAAGGTGGAATTTTTTCTTTCTTTAGACCCAATCTCCAAACTTTTTTCATATGTTTCCCTATTAGAAAATTGCATACATATACTAATAATCCTGAACCTTATAGAACTGTGAGAATAACATTTTCTAAAGGACGAGACAAAGATAACAAAGTGGTTGATCCTGGAGGCACTAGGGAGCCACTGGACTTTATTGAGTAGTGGGGAATGACATGGTCAGACCTGTGTTTGGGAAAATCCCTCTGGCAGTTGAGTGGATTCAATGGGGATAGACTTGAGGCAGAGGATCAAATTAGGAGGCTATTAGTATGTCCAAGTAAGAGATGAGGGTCTGTACTAGAGTGGTGGCTGTGAGGAGAGAGAAGGGTGTTACGTATAGGGGAGGGAGAGATTATGGAGGTCAAAACCGATTGGATATGGAGGGGAAGAATCTAAGATGGCATGGGGCCTGTGAGTTGGGGGGATTGGGAGGATGGTAGTGCCCTCGATAGAAAGAGGAAGTTTGCAAAGTTTTAAAAATGAATGTTTAAAAATTTTTTGCATGTAACTGGGGAAAAATAAAATGCTAAATAAAAATTCAAAAAGAAAAGAAAATAAAAGAAATTTGAAAAAAGAAAAAAAAGAAATAGGGAAGTTTGGAAGAAAGGTAGACATACAAGGAAGAGTAAAATGAAGCTTGTGATATAATTCATAACCCACCCATACTAGACCTTTTTAAATGACTCACTGTAGCCCACCCAAACCCAAAAGGAAATGGTACAGAAAAAGGTCATGCTGGGGGTTTTCCCATCAGTACCTCTGTCACTACTGCTGTGGGTTCCATGGTGGCAGTAGATTGGTTAAACTGACCCAAAGAGCCAACAGCCAACTCAGAATTGGGTTGGTTGGGAAATGCCCAGGGAGGTTGGAGGTGGAATAGAGGAGGATTTCAGGGGGCACAGATGAGCATGAAGCCTGGTTGTGTTAGAGACAAGCCCCACCAGTGTCTATTGCAAGGAGAGTGGGATGTGACCCTTCTTCCCACTCTGATGTATTGATCGCACCTTTCTTGGGGTCAGGCAATCACCCTCACTTTGGCTACTACCATTTTTGCTTTAACCATTTTTTTAAAAACCCAGTTTACCCAAATCTCCAGGGTTGAGGGACTGTTCTATATTCTCTTTGCCTCCCTAGTGCCTACCTATCACATTTCCTGACACACAATAGGCACTTAATAATGCTGACTGACTTGAATTCCATTTGTACTCTTAGGGGAATAGCCTTCATTATCATTATCAGCTATTACTGTTATTACTCTAGCAGTGAAGATATTAGCAAGCACCCACCTATTTTTTTCATCTGAGTTCACAAACCCTTGAAATCTTTCCACTGACACCTTTGGGGTCTATGTACCTCAGGCTAAGAAGCCCTGCTCTCAACGACAGGCTTTAAAACGCTCTTAGATTACTTATGACATTCTCAGATGTTACGTTCTCTTGTTTTAATCAAAGGATGGTGGAACAAATTCATTTCTACCAAGAGTCTTATAAATGCACATGGGAGATGCCTTGTTTTAGGGCTGCATCTGACTCTACCATCTCAAGTGTTTTTTTTACAACCAACAAAAAGTAAATAGGCATGGAAGTGTGTTATAGTCTTCACACCTCAACCTGTCCATTGTGTGACCACCAAGAGGCTGGAGGAGATAATTTCCAATCAGTTTTAAACTGTTGGAAATCATTTTCTTCAGTTTCCTACCTCAGAAATCAACAAACCCTACAAATCAGGGTGTGATTTATTACTTTGTTGATTAGAGAGACTTAACAGTGATGGAGAAAATGCTAATGATGTATATTACACTTAAGAGTCATGTCCTACATACCTGTTCGTTTGTTTGTTTTGGGGGAGTTGTTTGTTAAATATTGACCAGCACAACCCTGGGTCTAATCCAGCCTTATCATTTTACAGATGGAGGAAATTAAGGCCCAGAGAAATTAAATGATTGGGCTAAGGTCACACAGATGATGGTAGCCAAGCTGCTAAACAGTATAACATGGATGAAGATGCAAGAACTGACCAGGGTGGTTAGAGAAGGAATTCCAGTTTAGAAGGCCCAAGACTCCAGATCACAGGGATTCTGAGTAGAGCTATAGGGCAGAACTGGAGTCAGGAACCCCTGGGTTCAAGTCCCACCTTCGATTCTGATACTGAGTGGGGAAAAAGGCCTTAGGATTATAAATCAAGATGGAATGTTTATCTGAAGGCAATGGGGGTAACCCAAGAGATCTTAAGAGTCACAAAAATCTCTAAACCAGGGATTCTGGACCTTTTGGGTGCCATGAACCCCTTTGGACAGTCTGATGAAGTCCATAGGCTCCTTCTCAGAATCATGTTTTTAAGTGCATAAAATAAAATATATGAGATTACAAAGAAGGTTGGAGCTTAGCAAAAATAAAAATGTCTTTTTTTTTATTCCAAGTTTACAAATCCTTGATATCTCTCCACTGACACCTTGGGGTTCTGTGTACCTCAGTTAAGAACGCTCTCTCAGCAGCAGGCTTTAAAACGCTCTTGAATGACTTGTTATGTTCTCAGAACAAGCAGCCTTCAGTTCACGTGGTGCACTTTTTCTACCTTCCTGTTCGCACACTCTTGGTAACAAAGCTCAGCCTTCAGTCTGTGGCTGTCATGGCTTGGATTCTGGCTCAGCTAGGGCCTGAGGGCCTTCGCGTTCTCATGTAACTGAAGTCTGAGGCTTCCATTTCCTCTTTCTGCACCCTCTGCGGACGCTGGCGTAAGGTCTTTGGGCTTCAGGTTCTTTTGCTCTTTTATTGATGAAGTCATAAATAGGTTGTAATCTGTCGGTAGAGATGGACAGAACTTTCTATCCTCGAAATTTCCCTTGCTGATGAAACCATGGAAACTGAATGTATTTTCATTTATTTCATATTTTTAAAAACCCTGTGGTTTTTTAGTTGACCATCAAGGCTAAAGTGATTAGACCAAGGTCATACAGGTGACAGTGGTTGACCTGGGATTCAAACCCATTTCTTCTTAACTCCAAATCCAATTCTTCCAGCCTACCGTGCATTTCGTCCCTCCTGAGTCTCCTTCCATGCATGGGGAACACAGTTCATCCTTGCTTCAGTTGTCAAAGGATTATAAGTTTAGAGATGGAAAAGGAGCCCAGAGACCACAGATTCAGAGTTGGAATTCTTCATCTTTTTTTGTGTCATGGAAACCTTGGGCAGTCTAGTGAAGCCTATGGGATGCTTCTTAGAATTGTGGTTCTAAATGCGTAAACAATGTGTAAAAATACATAGAATTACAAAGGAAACCAACGCTATTGAAATATAGTTACCAAAATATTTTATTTACATCTACAATTGCAAAGGAACCCAATAATGTTGAAATATAGTTATAAGAATCTTTTACATATGATATTGAAATATAGTTATGAAAATATTTTAATAGACATAGAATTACAAAGGAAACCAATGACATTGAAATATAGTTACCAAAATATCTTATTTATACCTACAATTGCAAAGAAACCCAATAAAATTGAAATCTAGTCATAAAAATCTTCTATACATGATACTGAAATATAGTTATCAAAAGATTTTTAATAGACATAGAATTATAAAGAAAACCAATGATGTCGAAAGATAGTTATCAAAATATTTTTTAAAACGAATTCGTAGGTCTCAGGTTAAGAACCATGTAGAGGGGGTATCAAGGGGGCGCAGTGGATGGAGCACTGGCTCTGAAATCAGGAGGACCTGAGTTCAAATCTGGCCTCAGACCAAACACTTGACACTTACTGGTTGTGTGACCCTGGGCAAGTCACTTAACCCCAATTGCCTAAAAACAAACAAATAAATAAATAAAAATTTTTTAAAGAAAAAGAACCACGTAGAGTTAGAAGGGACCTCAGTGACCGTCTAATTAGGGATGTGCTGAAGGAAGCTCAACTAAATTTTCAGTATGAGCATTTACAGCTCAGAAATTGACAAATGCAAATCAGACTTGTTGTTTTGTTGATTGTAGAGACTTTAAAAAGCGATGGAGGAAATGTTTAAAATGCAGATTAAATTTAAAAGTATGTCTTGTGCATATTTTGGATTTTGGAGGGGAGGGGAGAGTTGGTTGTTAAATATTTACCAACACAACACTGTCTAATCCAACCCTGTGGTTTTTTAGTTGACCATCAAGGCTAAAGTGATTAGACCAAGGTCATACAGGTGACAGTGGTTGACCTGGGATTCAAACCCATTTCTTCTTAACTCCATATCCAATTCTTCCAGCCTACCGTGTTTGCTATGGCTTCCAAAATTCATTTGTTGCTATTCAGTCATTTCTGATTCTTCATGACTCCATTTGGAGTTTTCTTGGCAAAGATACTGGCTTCTTCCGCTCATTTTATAGATGAGGAAACTGAGGCAAACAGGGTTAAGTGACTTGTCCAGGGTCACACAGCTAACTATGTGTCTGAGGCCAGATTTGAACTCATGAAGATGAGTCTTTCTGATTCCAAGCCCACTGTGCCGCCTAGCTGCCTCCAAAATTCATTACCTTGTCGCAAACTCCCTCTATTTAAATTCTTTCAGCCTCACCAGGATGATACCAGTTTGGCAGACACACTGTGTTTCTGGGCTTATACTCTGAGTCATTCCAACTCAAAGTGCCTGTCCCCATCCCCCACCTCAGGTCTTATGCTTCATTGACAGAGCCTTCAAGAATATTAGGTTCACCACCATGCTTCAAACAGACCTTGATGGAAGGCTGGAGTGAAGAATTCATGTGCTCAGTAGACAAGATGTAACTAATAGGAGAAAGAAAGTAGTACTAACTGTAACTTCTCATTTCTTGGCAGAGAACAAGAAGGAATCGGGAGCGCAATGATGACTATCGGACCGCACAAGTGGCCCAGGATGAGGTGAGGGCAGAGACTTCAGCTGCCAATTTTTCTTATACATTATGGTTCTGTAGATGGGATCTACTCTGAGAAAATGTTATTGTCCATCCTTTGTTTTTTTTTTTAAAGGCAATTGGGGTTAAGTGACTTGCCCAGGGTCACACAGCTAGTAAGTGTCAAGTGTTTGGTCTGAGGCCAGATTTGAACTCAGGTCCTCCTGACTTCAGGGCCGGTGCTCTATCCACTGTGCCACCTAGCTGCCCTACCATCCTTTGTTCTTGAAGAAGACCGACGAGGGGGATGTCTTGCTGAGAAGATACTGGCCTAGGTCAATGGTTCCCAACTCTTTTTGTACCAGGAACCCCTTTCAATAATAACAACAACAAAAATGTGTTGTGAACCTCTAGGGTAATTTAATCTACAATTCATAATATTATTTACAGTTATTTACTGCTTAAGTCACTATTAAGAATTTTTAGCATGAATATCTTGGACCATCATCAGAAACCTCTAAATGGGAACCATAGCCTATTTTCTCAAGTGGAAGCAATAAATATTATTAGGCTGTAAGAAATGATGAATATGAAGGATTCAGAGAGACATGGAAGACTTGCATGACGTAAAGCAGAACCCAACGAACAGTATGCCCAGTGACCATAACAACATCAATAAAAACAGTTTCTAGAGACAGCAAAACTGGTGCCCAATGCAGTTATTAGTATGGTTGGTATCATGCCCAAAATAAAAGGGGGCATATTCCTCTTTTCTGACAATCATCAAAACGGGTACTTCTAAAACACAGGTCTGATGAGGTCACTCTTCTGCTTAAAGACCTTCACTGGCTCCCTATTGACCACTGTATAAAATAAAAACTCTTCGTTTGGCACTTAAAGCCAATCTTGGTCCATTCTATCTTTCTAGTCTGATTTTACAAATTCTTCCCTCTCATAGTCAGTCAACCAACACTTATTTGTAAACACTCACCATGCTTCAGCCACTGTGCTGAGGGTACAAAAAGAAAAGTGAAACAGCTCCTGTCCTCAAGGAGCTTACATTCTGTCGGAGGAGACAACATGCACAAACGTGAGTATCTCCAAAAGGGATGATTTTGGTGGGCAGGGCATGACAGAGTGTGATCCTGACCATCAGCAGGGTGGATCTGGGAGGGCTTTATTCAGAAAGTGGTTCTTAAGCCAAGTATGAAAAGAAAGTAGGGAATTCTAAGAGGTACAGGTGAAGGAGGGCCTTCCAGGCAAAGGAACAGCCAGGGCAGAGGCACCAGCCTGGCTGACTAGACCACAGAGAGCAAGCAGGGAAATAAGGCTTGAAGGGTAATTTGGGACTATGAAAGGGCTTTAAATGTTAAACAGGGACTTTGTATTTGAACATTTAGATAACAGGGGGCCACAGAGCTTACTGAGAGCAGACTGATATGGTCAGACCCATGCTTCCAGAAAATCACCTAAACAGCTGTGTGGAGGATGAGTTGGATATGAGAGGGAGATCTTATGTAGGGTGGTCCATTAGGAGGCAATTGTAATAGTCCAGGCAGGTGGCAATGAAAGGCTTAACCACGATGGTGGTCGTGTGAGCAGGGTGGATGTGAAAGCTGTTCCCCACATAGAGTATTACCCCTGTCCCTGAAACACTCTCCCATCTCCCATCTGCCCCTTGGCATTTCTAGATCCATTCAGGGTACTGTTTAAGTGGCCCCTTTTATATAAGACTCTTCTCTCTACCCCTCCCATTGCCCATGTTCCCTTATAAAGAAAATTACTTTGTGTTTATTGTTTACTAATCTGTGTACACAGTGCTTCTCTCCAACAGAATCAGTCAATCGAGAAGAATTTATTAATCAATTACTATGTGCCAAGCATTGTACCAAGCACTGGCATAAAGATTTAAAAATTTAAACAACCTCCCCTCTCAAGGAGCTTACATTCTTTTGGGGAGACAACGTATATGTATATGAATATATACAGAAGAAGCAAGCTCATATACAACACACACGTGTAAAAGTATATGGGATAAAAAAAAAGTGCCTGTATTTTTGGATAGAGACCAGCCCTGGATTCAAGAAGAACTGAGTTCAAATCTGGCCTCTGACACTTGATGCTTACTAGCTGTATGACCCTGGGCAAATCACTTCACCCTATTGCCTAGCCAAAAAAAAAAAGTATATAGAATAATGCAAATTTAGAGACATCTCCTTCCCAAATGTTCATATGGACTATTTGTGTCTGACCTGTGGTAGAGCCTTCTGAGCTTGTATTAGTTTGATCAGCCACAGTTGGACACATGGTACATTGACTCTGACATCATGTTGTCATTTTGGTCCTCTTTGATTACAAAGGATGACAATAAGAAATATGTTCAAAACGAACATAGTTTTTTAAAAAATATAAGGATTAGGGAATGACCCTTGAAAGTTCAATTGTTTGAGGCATGTCTGCCTTCTAAAAGAAGCAGTTACTAAATTAAATCTAACTCAGAGTTCTGAGATAACAGTTGCTCATTTGTCTATGACAAACTGTAGAACACTGGAGTAAATGGAAAACAGTCTACTTCAGTGATTTACATATGAAAAACTGGAGATCTTTTCTGTTAATAACTTGGGAAACACGAATACCAGAACAGTTTTATGATTATGGGACAAATGTAATTTACCTTATTATAGATTGAAGATGAACTTTGGTTACTATTCATAAGCTAATATGGGGTTGGCTATTGGTAGGGAGAACTAGCTACTGACCCAAGAAAGGTGAGAAGAGGAAGACAGATTGCAGAGCTGTGTTAAGAAAAGACTGTAACTCTTCATTGTCACTTGTTGCTGGAATGATTAGTTAGCCAGTAAGAGGCTGAAGTGCTCTCTTCTGCCATGTGCTTCTGAGAAGAAGGAATAGACGTCTGTATTGTGACTTGCTGAGAAGAAGGAGCAGGAGGAGAAGGAGGAGGAGGAGGAGGAGGAGAAGGAGGAGGAGAGGAGGAGGAGGAGGAGGAAGAGGAAGAGGAGGAGAAGGAGGAGGAGGAGGAGAAGAAGAAGAAGAAGAGGAAGAAGAGGATGAAGAATGAGAAGAAGGAGAAGAAGGAGAAGAGGAAGAAGAAGAAGAAGAAGAAGAAGAAGAAGAAGAAGAGAAGAAGAAGAAGAAGAAGAAGAAGAAGAAGAAGAAGAAGAAGAAGAAGAAGATAATACTCTGATTTGTTGCTGAGAAGAAAACAATTCTCCTCATCGGTACCTGTTGTTGCTGAGAGGAACAAAGGAAAGAAGGAAGGAAGGGGAATAGAAGGGAAAGTTATTAGTAAGTGCATTGGGATTAAGTGACTTGCCCAGAGTCACACAGCTAGTAAGTGTCAAGTTTCTGGTTTGAGGTCAGATTTGAACTCAGGTCCTCCTGACTCCAGGCCTGGTGCTCTATCTACTGTGCCACCTAGCTTCTCCTCTTACATATATTTTTTTACTAACCTTGGGACTTTAGGTGGGTGTCCACTCTTTGAATGGACTCTGTGTGCATTGATGGGAGAGTATAATTGAGGTGTATGAGTAAAATGCCATGTAAGAATTATATATATTTGCTTTGCATTTTCAGTAAATGTTTTAGTTAAGATTGAGTATTACTACTGATTTATTCATGAAAAGTACACCGATGAAAAGGACTCTGTAAGATACAGTATTGATGGTGATGGTCATTCAGAAGGAGTTAGAATACTAGTTGCATGGCAACCACCCTGTGGGGCCACCTCAATTTGCCAATGTTGGTTCAAGTGGGATGAATGAGCCATCTTCAACCTGAGAAGAGTCAGGGTCAGGGCAATAATAACAACAATAATGTTAGCTAGCATTTAAATGGTGCCTGGCACTGTGCTAAGCTTTTTACAAATACTATCTCATTTAATCTTCACAACACCCCTGAGAGATAGGTGCTATTATTATCCCCATTTTGCAGTTAAGGCTATTCCTGGGCTGTCCAAGGAGATGGTGTTAGAAATTGGGGAGAGGGGTTCAGAAAAGACTCCATGTAGAATATATATATGGTGCTTGAGCTGAGTCTGGAAGACAGCAATTCTATAAGGGGCAGGTGAAGAGGGAGTGCATTCCAGGCACAGAGGAAGACCAGTGCAAAGGCATTGGTAGAATGGAAACTCTCTAAGGGCAAAGATTGTTGTCCTTTTTGTTTTTATATACCCAGAATCCAGTGCATAAGAAGAGCTTAATATTTGCTTATTGAATGCAATTGAACAACCCATTTCTTTTCATCCAATATACTTCGTAAAGGTATTTCTTTGTCTGTTTGTTGGGAAGTATCTATTGCATCATTTAGAGGAAGACCCAACAAATACTTTCCAGTATACTTCCAAGTAAAAGCCTCCACCATGTTGAGTGGGGCCCTCTGCGGTGGATTTATCGGAGGATGAGGAAAAGAGTGGGACAGGATGGAAAGGGAGGAATTAACATCAAGAGGGAATAGCCACCTCAGTAAGATCATAGATCCGTGGGGGGAGGGAAGAGATGGGGAGAAAATTTGTAACTCAAAATCTTGTGGAAGTGAATGTCGAAAACTAAAAATAAATAAATAAATTTTAAAAAAAGACCAGAGATCTGTCTAAGAATTGGGTCAAAACAAAATGTACCTGGAGATTCGATTTAAAATTCAATTCAAAAAAAGGAGAGAAAAAAAAAAGGGATTCTATTAGTGAACTGAGCAGGGCCAGACTTAATCTTCATTATGATTTAACTTCTCAGTAACCCAGGCAAGTAAGTCCCTGAGATTATAAATTACAGCCAAACTGCTGATCTGCATCAGTTAAGGGAGTTTCTGTACTGAGAGTTCCCTAAAGCATGACATCATATGTCTGACCTAAATACCGGTAGAGAGGGTAACACAAAGAAAACATTGAAATTATCTACCGCAATGAGGTATATTCATTTTGCCCTATCTGTGCTTCAGAAAATCTTAATGTATATTTCTAAGTCAGATAGTCAACAACTCTGGCGGTATCTTCCAAGCTGGAGGAAAAAGTATATAGATAATATGGTTTGGTGGAAGGAATGCTTGGAGTGAGAGGATCTGGGTTCGAATCTCAGCTCTGTGACCTTGGGGAAATCACTTCATTTCCTCTTCAGTAGCATCTGTAGTATCCATTCACTTCAGTTTCCTTGTCTGTCAAGTGAAGAGGTTGGAACAGATGACATCTCAGGTCCTTTTTTTAGGGCAGCTAGGTGGCGCAGTGCATAGAGTACCAGCCCTATAGTCAAAAGGACCTGAGTTCAAATCTACTCTCAGACAATTACTAGCTGTGTGACCCTGGGCAAGTCACTTAGCTCTGTTTCCTCATCTGTAAGATGAACTGGAGAAGGAAATAGCAAACCACTCCAGTATCTTAGCCAATAAAACCCAAAAAAGGGGTCACGGAGTGTTGGACATGACTGAAACAATTCAACATCTCTGATCCTGAAGGTATGCCCCTAACCTGTTTCCTTTTTCAGGAGATTGCCAGGTACATGCAAGATGAAGAGCTGAAGTACCATCAGAGAGAGGTGCGAGAATGGGAGCTAAGAAGGGAAAGCAGAAACAGAAGCCTCAGCTTTTCCGAACAAAGGCAGAACAGGAGCAAGCAGGTGGGTAATGGTGTTTTTCTTTCATTATCTTCAGTCTTCTCCCAAACCGCCGGTGTTTGCCCAGGAAACCAGAACCTATAGATGAAGTCAAGTCAACAAGCATTTATTAATCACCTGCTATGTGCCAGGTACTTTGCTAAGCATTGAGGATAATGAAGAAAGGCAAAAGACGGTCTTTGCTCACCAGAATCTCCAAGTCCAGTGGGAGAGGCAATGTGCAGACAACATACAAGATATGTACAGGATAAACTGGAACTCATCTCAGAGGGAAGGAATTAAGTTTATTTTATTTTATTTTTGAATTAAATTAGTTTATCATTTATTAAGCACCTATCACGTTAGGCTTTAAGACAACAAAAACAAAATACCAAATTTTAAGAGATTTGCACTGAAGGCATGAAGTTTAAAGGGGAATAGGAACGGTTTCTGATACAGGGTGGGGCTCTGGCTGGGACTTGAGGGGAGCCAAGGAAGTCCGGAGGCAGAGAGGAGGAGAGAGAGGGTTCTAGGTATGGGAGAGGGGCCGCCAGTGAGAATGTTCCCAGTTGGGAGATGGAGTGTCCTGTACAAGGACAGGAAAGTGACTAGTGTCACCAGATGGCAGAGATAGAGAGGGTAAGAGGTATAAGAAGACTGGAAAGACAGGAAGGGACAAGGGCAAAAAGGCTTTAAAAGCCAAATGGAGAGGCAGCTAGGTGGCACAGTGGCTAGAGCACCAGCCCTGAAATCAGGAGGACCTGAGTTCAAATCCAGCCTCAGACCAAACACTTGACACTTACTAGCTGTGTGACCCTGAGCAAGTCACTTAACCCCAAATTGCCTACAAAAAAAAAAGCCAAATGAAGGATTCTTTCCACTCTGACAAGTTGTATTCTTTTGTACTTTCACTCAATTGGTTAAGGGCCTGTTGTAGCGCCATGGTGGGTGCCAGGCTAAAAGAAAACTGCCTTTGACCCCAAGGGCTTCCTACTGATGGAAAACAACACATGCATAGAAAATATAATATGAAATCTGCTCAAAGTAGGTATGGAATTAATTCTTGGGATAGGGCCCTCTCTGCTGTAGGAGATTAGGATGAGTTTCCTTGGAAAGTGGCATTTGAAGTGTGAAGGGAGCAAAGGATTCTGTGAGGTCTAGGTGAAGAATTGGGTGCACTCCAGACATAGGGATTTTCCCGTGTAAAAGTTTGGAGATAGGAAATAGACTCATGTACAGGGAACCACAGATAGGCCAGTTTGATTGGAATTCAGAGTACATAAAGATGAGCATTAAAAATCAGGGTAGCTGGGTGGGGCAGTACATAGAGCACCAGCCCTGGAATCAGGAGGACCCAAGTTCAAATCTGTCTTCAGACACTTACTAGCTGTGTGACCCTGGGTAAGTCTCTTAACCCTGTTTGCCTCAGTTTTCCCATTAATAAAATGAGCTGGAGAAGGAAATGGCAAACCACTCCAGTATCTTTGCCAAGAAAATTCCAAATGGGATCACGAAGAGTCGGAAATGACTGAACAACAAAAGACAATTTGCAAAGAGCTTGAAACATTCTGTACTTGAACCTCCTAACAGTGAGGCTGAGAAGTACATTTATCCCCATTTTACAGATGAGGCAAAAGGCTCAGATAGGAAATGTCTCAGGTTGGGGTTGAGGCCAAGCCCTCTGGATTCTGGTCTAGCACTCTGCCCAACATCTCAGCCTTCTTGGTCATTTGAAGAGGCTGGACTAGGTGAGACAGAAGCTCTGCTTTTTATTTTGTGACCTTGGAGAAGTCAAAGCCTCACTGCTCCCAACTGTTGAAAGAGAGGGATTGGCCTAGATTTTTTCTTAACTTTATTTTTAAACAAATGTTTCTTGAGTGCCTACCACGTGCTAGGCAGTGCATAAGTGCTTTACAAATATTATCTGATTTGACCTTCACAACAACCTTGGAAGGTAGGTGCTCTTTCGCAGGAAGCTGAGGCAGGCAGTGCTCATGGTCACACATCTAGTAAGTGTCTTGAGGCTGGATTTGAACTCAGGTCTTCCTGACTCCAAGTCCTACATTCTATCCACTGATAGATGACAGCTAAGCAACCTTAGAAGCCAACCTCCTCATTTTACAGAGGAGCAAACTGAGGTCCAGAAATACCGCCCCAGCTCACCCAGGTATTTGTGATTTCCTCTGCATGGAAATTCCCTCCATCATCAGGTCACAGTATGTCCTGGGCAATGGAAGGTTTAAATGATTTGGCCAAGCCAAATCTTCCTAACTACCAATCTTGCTCTCTCTTTACTGGGCCATCTCATCCCATGTCTTTATCCCTGAAGTCACCAAAGCATAAAAATTGTCTATTGCTTCTGTTTGGGACTGGTCACTTAGGATAAAGGAAATGTGCATGTCCATTAGTCATGTGTGGGCAGCAGTGAAGTCCTTGATTGGGAAAAGACAGCTAAGAGTGGACGAAAGGAGCAATGAGTCTGGCATCAGAGGCCATGAGGGTTCAAATCCTGGCTGCTTGACTTTCTACCTGGGTGACGTTGGCCAAACCACTCACCTCTCCAGCTCTGGCTCTCCTCACCTGTCAAACAAGGAAGTTGGATCAATGACTTCTAAGGTCCCTTCTAGCTTTAAATTATTATTATTATATAATTACATATAATGTAATTTATTATCATATTATCCTATGAATCCTCTCTTCTTTCTAAAGGTTTCTCCCTCATTTTTATTTTTCTGCCTGGTGATGCTGAAGCTGACACCAAAAAGAACATTTAAAAAAATTGGTTCCAAAAACAGTCATGCTATTTTTAGAGACTTTATTAAAATGATCAGTTTCAATCTGATTTTGATTCCTAGTTAATGTCGTTGATGATTCTTAAGCCCCCTCAATATGCCCACCCACCTTGGCTGCGGCATCTGTACCACTCCACCCACGAGTGGAAATGTTTACTTCCTTTCTGCTGTGGGGTAGACGCGCACCCAAGTCACTCACCAGGGCCTTTGGTGAAGGTGTGCTGCAGACCTACAGAAGTTTCCATTAGAGAGTGAGACCTTCCACCAGAAAAGGGTGTCAGAGAATTTCAAATGCAACCACATCTCCACTCAAGAAGTTAAAGGAGTTCGGGTTTCCAACTTACACTAATTGTTTCAAACGATATATAAATATTTTCTTAACACATTCTAGTTGATTCTGACTCAGTAGAGTGAGGTGGCAAACAGAACAATTGAATGGGTCCTTAGACTACATTAAGAAAGACATTGCTTCCAGGAGTAATAATAATAATAATTATTATTATAGCTAATAATAGCTAACATTTATATAGCACCTACTATGTGCCAGGCACTGTGCTAAGCACTTTACAAATATTATCTCACTTAATAATAATAATAATTAACATTTGTATACCATTTGTTATGCTCCAGGCACTGTGCTAAGCATTTACAAATATTATCACAGTTAACAATAATAATAATAATAATAATTAGCATTTGTATACCATTTATTATGCTCCAGGCAAAGCACTTTACAAATATTATCTCATGTGGTCCTCACAACATCCCAGGGAGGTAGGTGCTGTTATTATCACCATTTTACATATGAGGAAACTGAGGTAAGCAGTAGGTAAGTGACTTGCCCAGGGTGGTACAGCTAGTAAGTGTCTGAAGCTGGATTTGAACTCGGGTCTTCCTATCTCCACGCTCCATTTTCTCTCCACTGCACAACCTAAGCATCTCCATGATCATAGAATCATAGATCCAGAGCTGGAAATAACCTGGCTGTGAAGTCCAATCCTTTCATTTTGCAGATGAGGAAACTGAGGCTCAAGAGATTAAGTGACTTATTTGATAAATCCTATTATTCACTTCCTAGCTGCCACAGAAGACATTGCTTCCAGGAGTAAGAAGCCCTAGAACGACCGTATCTAGAATACTGCGTTCAGTTCTGGACATCACAAGATAAGGGCTGTTAACAAACTGGAGACTACCAGAAAGCTGAAGGGTCTCTAGTTCATACTGTTTGAGGATGGTTTGAATGAAGTAGGGGTCTTATCCTAGATTAGAGAAGAATCAGGCTATATCCAGGAGAACCTGATAACTGTCTTCCAGTATGAGTCTTCCAAGCTGTGAAGGGGTCGGACAATCAATCAAGCATTTATTAAGCACCTACTATGTGCCAGGCATTATGCTAAGCCCTGGGGGGAGAAAAAAAAAGGGAAAAGACAAGAATCTTTGCGGGGAGACAACATGTAAACAACCATGTACAGATAAGATATTTACGAGATAATGGGGGCAGTCCAGAAGAAAGGCACTAAGATTTAGGAAGAATGGGAAAGGCTTGTGGCAGAAGGTGGGGCTTTAGCTGAGACCTGAAGGAAGTCAGGAAAACCAGGAAGAAGGGGAGGGGGAGACAAGAGGGAGAGAGTTCTAGGCACGGGGGAGAGCCAGTGAAAATGGGTAGAATCCGGAGACAGGGTGTCCTATGCAGGTAACAGCATGGTGGTCACCATCACTGGATCACGGACTAGGTGGAGAAGAGTAAAGTTAAGAAGATTGGAAAGGGAGGCAACTAGGTGGTACAGTGGATGGAATACTAGCCTTGGGCTCAGGAGACTCTGAGTTCAAATCTCGCCTCAGACACGTGACACTTACTAGCTGTGTGACCCTGGGCAAGTCACCTAACCCCATTGCCTAGCCAAAAAAACAAAGAAGAAGAAGAAGAAGAAGAAGAAGGAGGAAGAAGAGAAGGAGAAGGAGAAGGAGAAGGAGAAGGAGAAGGAGAAGGAGAAGGAGAAGGAGAAGGAGAAGGAGAAGAAGAAGAAGAAGAAGAAGAAGAAGATGACTGGACAGAGTAGGAAGGGACCAAATTATGTAGGGCTTTAAAAGCCAAACAAGGGAATTTTATATGTAATCCTAAAAATAATAGGAAGCCAATGGAGGTTATAGACTGAAGGGGGGAGGGGGGGATTCACTTGCTCTGCTTGAGCTCAGAGGGCATTATCAGAAGCCACGAGTAACCATCTCAAAGGGGCAAATACAGGCTCTACGTCAGGGTTCCCACTGCTTCGGGCTGTCCCTGAGCGGAATGGGGTGGTGAATCTTCCCGCTTTGGAGGTGTTACAGAGACTGGATGACCACTGGTCAAGCATACCACAGGGAACTTCTTTCCTGGCATGGGCTGGGCAGTGAGATTCCTTCTTGATGTGATTTTATGCTGCTGTAATAAAAATGAATTATTTAATTTTGTAAACTAACAGGAAGGGGGCTTTTTAATCAGCTTTGATTGACTGCTGACTGATGCTCTTTGGGGGAGGATGACTCATTCTATGTTCCTATTTTTCTTTTATAACTTTTACTCATTAACCAAATATGTGGCTGTCACACGTACTGTTAGCTCTGGTGAAAAAAGCAGTATTACTGCTTGAAAATGAAAATAGAATAACTATCTCTAGATATCTCTAGGGAAAAAAATTCTCTCAGGCATTGCTTTTTCACTCCTGTGGCTAAATCAAATACAGAAGTAAACCACTTCCTTAAAGCTAGAGGAAGAAAGTAAAACAAAACAAAAAACCCCAGCAGTTTAAGAATGATAGGAATGATAACATTGAATTCGAAATCACCAGACTTGAGTTCGAATTCTGTGGCCTGATCACTTGCTACCTATGTGGTCTTGGGCAGGTTATGTCCCTTCTCTGAGCCTCAGTTTCCTCATCGTAAAATGGGTTGATTAGTTGGATTATATATCCCCCTGAGGTCCCATTCAGCTCTAAATCTTCAAGCCTACATGCTGACTGTGTGACCTTGACGGTCACTGCCCCCACCCTGACCTCAGTTTCCTCACCTATAAAATGAGGGTGTAGAGTTACATGGTCCCTGAGGTCTCTTCCAGCTCAAGGGTTGATTATATAAAGGTTTGGAATGTTAGGATAAGCTTCTATGATTTGTGGGGGGAAAGAGGGTGGGGAAGGGTGTCTTTTTCAGTTTATTTCATGACTGAGCTAGTCCAAGCTAAGCAGCGGACCCCAAATGGTTAAATCATACATGCCAAGATGTTTCTAAACTTGTGACAAGAGAGAGGACATTTTTCCACTCATTGAAAGGAAATACTCACTTGAGCTTTAACGAGTCCCAGGCACTTAAGATCCATGAACCTTCCTGTTTTGGCCAGCCCCATCTCAGGGAGGGTTGGCTGGTGTTACGTCCCTGACCACCCTTAGCTGAAGGACTTCTCCAGATTCTACATGCTCATTTACAGTAACATTGCTGACAAATTTCTCCTTCAATGCTTTTTATCATAATCATCAGCAGTCCCCTGGACAGCGGAAGGTGGGGTGGTGGACTTCCTGCCTACTATTTCTCCGTTGAATTCTTTGCATGAGGATGCATTTTATATATTTTTAATCAAATTTCATTTTTTCATTTAATAAAAATTGATTTTTCTCTTCCTTCCACTCCCCCTCCCCCTGAAGGAAGAATGGGAGCCTTATAATAAATAGATACAGTTAATATACGGTTGAGCAAAAAGAATCAACAAAAAATTTTTGGTGCCTACTAGGTGTGAGGCACCATGCTAAGCTCTGGGTATACAAAGAAAGGTAAAAGACAGTCCCCGCTCTCCAGGAATTCAGCACTCAGAGGAGAGTGAGCGTTCCAAGTATGGGAGACAGCCAGGGAAAAATTCTTGGAGTTGGAAGATGGAGGGTCTCATGTGGGATAATTGAGACGCAGAGAGGGGAGGTAGCCTGAAACAGTGGGAAAGCACTCTGGACCCAGAGTTAGATAGCCTGAATACCGAGGCTGGCGGGGATTAGATAACTAACTCTTGATCTCACCCACAGATCCCTCTGGATGGCAAAGGCCATGCTGTATGTCCGCTATGCCATAATTCCGTCACAAGCATCTTTTGCTTTTTTCTGACAGACTCAAGTACCACCGGACTCTGAGGTTGTGCCCCTTATTAGAGATCCAGTTCTGGCCTGCTCCGACTTCCCAGCCCAAGGATCGGAGGGACACAGTGCAAAGTAGGTGGCCTTATTCAAACCAGAGTTTCACATTTCTTCCCCCTGACTCATTCACAGACTCTTTTCCTATGTTGGGGGGGGGGGTGGATTATATTTTTGTGCTCCTGTGGTAGAAGGGTATTTTGGATAGGGAAAAATCTTCTCCAAGTTACTGTCTTCCCTTTGTAATAATAATTCATTTCAAAACCAACAAGAAAAGTCCTTCTTTCTTCCTTTTCTTTCCCCCTCCTTTCCTTCCTCCTTCCTTCCTTTCCTCCCTCTCTTTCTTTCTCTCCTTCCCTCCTTCTCTTCCTTCCTTCCTCCTTTCCTCTCTTTCTCCTTCCCACGTTACTTCTTCCTTCTACCCTCTTCTTTGCTTTCCCTTCCTCCCTTCCTCCCTCTCCTCCTTCCTCCCTCTCCTCCTTCCTCCCTCTCTTCCTGCCTTCTTTCCTTCCTCCCTTTCTTCCTTCCTTCCCCAGAGGAGGTTAAAGCTTCATGCCAACCTGGCTGAGTTAGGGAGATCCAATCTCAACAAGAACAGCAGCAAAGCCCCCTCAAATCAATGTCCTAGCAGAAGGAAAATTAGATGAATTCGATTAGAAAATCAGACTGATAACACTTGCTGTTCTATTAAACACTTTTCCAGACAACTGTTTTCTCGGAATATTGCTGAAGAACTGGACCCAACATTTAAGTCAAGTGGGGCAGACCCGCCCATTGATGTCAGTTCTCAAGGTATGTTCTTTCTGCCGTACTCAGTGAAATAATCCACAGCCCAGCATGCAGCCCATGCCCTGGCACAACCCAGGTCACCTGGTCCAGCCCCCTCCGAGCCTCAGTGTCAGTCTGGCCTCTTCAGAAAACCCTCAGTGATTGGGCATCCCATACCACACCAGATGACCTTCTCCATTCTTGTAAAACTCTAGGTGTGAAGCATTTCAAGCCTGTCACAATCTGGCTCCAGGCTTCCTTTCCAGCCTTTTTACCTGTTACTTCCCTTCATATACTCTTACTTCCAGCCAAACTGGCCCATTTGCTCTTGTTCCCTGAGCTGGGCATTATTTCTTCCTCCCTTTTTTTTTTTGGCAATTGGGGTTAAGTGACTTGCCCAGGGTCACACAGCTAGTAAGTGTCATGTGTCTGAGGCGGATTTGAACTCGGGTCCTCTTGACTTCAGGGCTGGAGTGCTGTCCATTGCGCCATCTAGCGCCACGTACTTGTCCCTATCTCTTCCTCTTCTTAAAGGCAACCAGAGAGACACTATATAAAAAAGACCAATAGTCTGGCTCTCCTGGAGGATGAAGTGTATGTGTGATGATTAAAACCAATAACACCACAATAGAGGAAGTTACTCCCACCTCCCTGCCTTTACTCACGCTGTCTCCCATGCCTGGAATGCTTGCCCTCCTCACCTCTGCTTCTAAGAATCTTTCAAGGCTCAGTCCACGTGCCACCTCCTGCCTTGGAAGCGTTTTCCAGTCCACTGGTTGTTCGTACTTTCCCCCCTCCTTAACTAAGCATACATTTTAACTAATTTACAATCTGTGTCTCTGCAGTAGGATGTAAGCTCCTTCAGGACAAGGATTATTTTTCATTTTATCTTTGTATCTCTATCTTCTCCCAGGGTAAACTGGACCTTAATGATCAATTAATCAAAGTGACCATTGAATTGGATTTTTTTCCTGATTTTGTAACCGTATGTTAGCTGTTATCGTCATCCTTATGCTTCCTCCTATTTTTTTAATCATCACACACAGTCTTTATCCTTCATATTGTTCTTTGGTCATTTCTTTCAATCATATCCGACTCTTCATGACCCCATTTGGGGTATTTTTGGCAAAGATGCTGGAGTGGTTTGCCATTTCTTTCTCTGGCTCATTTTACAGATGGGGAAACTGAGGCAAATAGGGTTCAGTGACTTGCCCTGGATCACATAGCTAGCAAGCGTCTGAGATCAGATTTGAACTCAAGAAGATGAGGCTTCCAGACTCCGGGCCTGGCACTCTACTTTGCTACCATATCCATGTTAGCTATTATCATTATTATTATTATCATTATTTTCCTCCATTAGACTGTGAGCTTCTTGACTTTTGTTCTGTTTTTTTTCCCCCTTTTTTGTAATCCTGGTGCTTAGCACAGTGCCTGGCACATAGTAAGCACCATATAAATGTTAGTTATCTATCCACATCCAGAGAAAGAACTATGGAGTTTGAATGCTGATCAAAGCATACTATTTGCTCTTTTTTTTTTCTTGTTTTGTTTTGTTTCCTCTTTCTCTTGGTTCCTACGATTGAGTCTAATTCTTCTTTACAACATGACTAATGTGAAAATATGTTTAATAGGAATGTATACATAGAGTCTATATCAGATTGAACACTGTCTTAGGGAGGAAGGTGAGGAGGGAGGGGGGAAAATTTAAAACTTACAGAAAAACTTATGCAAGTGATTGTTGAAAACTAAAAATAAATTAATTAATTTTTTTAAAAAATGTTAGTTATTGTCATTCTCATCTTTTCCCCCATTAGACTGTGAGCTCCTTGAGTTTTGTTCTTTTTTCCCCCCCTTTCTTTGTGCCTCTGGTGCTTAGCACAGTGCCTGGCACATAGTAGCTACTTAATAAATGTTTGTTGAGGGGGCAGCTAGGTGGTGCAGTGGATAGAGCACCGGCCCTGGAGTCAGGAGGACCTGAGTTCAAATCCGGTCTCAGACACATAACACTTGCTAGCTGTGTGACCCTGGCTAAGTCACTTAACCACATTGCCTAGCCCCCCCAAAAAAAAGTTTGTTAACTTCCTAACTTCAAGACTGGCGCTCCATCCATACATGACAGATGCATAGAGACGCACTCTTGACCATTGGCTAATTCTTTTACATTCATTATTTCCCCTTTCCTACTCTTAGCTCTTGCCCATACAGTTCCAGTGGAGGGACTCTTTGAGTACAACGAGGAGAGCCCCGAAGCAGCCTTTATTTCACCCACCAAGCGTCAGTCAGGACGACAGAAAACCAAAGACAAGAAAGAAGCCTGCAAGCAACAGTGAGACAAAGCTTCTCCCTCTCCCCACTCTGCCCCCTCCCCTACTCCTCTCCTGTCACCTTTTCAACCTCCCCCTCCCCAAAGGGAGACTTAGTTAGACTTCATGTTGGATCAAACCCTGGACCACAAAAACTACTTTGCCATGTCCTTCAATGACTTCATGCCTCATGGCCATATTGGGACACCTTTATTCCTAAGTTATTGTTTGTATATGTGTGTGTGTGTGTGTGTGTGTGTGTGTGTGTGTGTGTGTGTGTGTGTGTTTGGAAAATGCTTTTGATGAATAAAGAGGCAGCTAATGGCTCAGTGGATAGAGCACCGGACTTGGAATCAGGAAGACCTGACTTCAAATCCAGCCTCAGACACTTACTAGCTGTGTGGCCCTGGGCAAGTCACTTAGCCTCTACCTGCCTCGGTTTCCTCTTCTGTTAAATGGGATCATTATAGCACTTACCTTTTGGGATTGTCTTTAAAGCGCTGTATGTAAATGCTTCTGTTATTCTTGAAGATGTCATCTCTCTCTCTCTCTCTCTCTCTCTCTCTCTCTCTCTCTCTCTCTCTTTTTTTACCTGTGACATATTTGCTTTAAAAATATCAAAGGTCAAGCAGTTCTTGATCTTGGATTTATGGGGCTAGGGGTGGCAGAGGATTTCATAAATTAGATGGGAGTGAAATCATCCTGGTGCCATGTGGAGGACTTAACTGAAAGAACATGGCGCCTCTTTTAGTAAACCATCCTCTCCCTGGTTTCTTCCACTGAAATACTGCATACAACATGGCACCTTTCTCTCTCTCTTCTAGCACTGAACTCCAAAGTCATCAGGAGGCTCTGGGGACCATATGTCTATTTCAGAGCGTATTAGTCTAGTTTGAAGGAAGAAGTCAATGAAAATATGGGGACTCACTAAAAAGTCCTCAGAGGGGTGGGTGGTCTTGTACGCTGCCCGATAGACTTTTCTATCAAACATCCTTCAAACCAATGAGCATTCATTAGTTACCTACTGTGTGAAAACTATAAAGGTTTAAATAATAAATGTGCTGTACCCCTGGAAGAAAAAATATGGGAACTAGCCATTACCCATTATACCCCCACTGATACCCATTATTCTATGCATGTTGTTCTTTCCTCTAGTTATCTCTGTGACTGGGTAAGTAAGACCTATGTATTTCCTAGAAACACAAATCTATATGAAATTAGTTCTCGCACCATTTACAAAATTAAATGCCTTGTGCTTCATGCAGATATTTCCTCAGTGTATTTTAAGGGAGCTCAGAGCTGGTGTTTCTTCACTTTGGCCAAACTTGTGCTAGTTATATTTTTTGGAAAATATATTTCTAGGAAATGAAAATGAAATTGAGTACAGGGAGGAAGCGAGAAACACATTACCCAAGAGCAGAAATTGGAAACTGTACTCACTTCAATAAATCCATTTCCTGGCTACTTTGGGCTCCAGATTTCCTATTACCAGAAAGTAGCATCAATAACAATTCAGTTGAAGAAATCCCATCTATGAACAGAAATAGGAAGTCAAGTGCCCGCGTGTGTCTCATAGTCTTTGAAAAAATGCCTGTATATGGAACAATAATTTTAAGATAAGTTTGTACTTTGAACAAAGTATAGACTAACCTAGAATGGAACTAGCCAGTTCAATCTAACAAGTATTTATTAAGAGGATGCTACATGCAAAGGCAATATACCAGGCAGAGGGGATACAAAGGCAAAATAACAACAACAAAATACAATCCCTGACCTTAAAAAGTTTACTTTCTGTGGGAGGAATACAGTTATCCCTTCCTCATGGGAATGGAGGTAGGGGTAGGGGTTAGGGGCATGGTACCCCCATAATCTGGAAAATCCACATAAAACTTTTTGGCCCTCCATTTGTAACAGAGAAGAAATCTGGATTTTGTCTTTTTCTTTTATGGGGTAGTTACAGTACTTTATTGTAAAATTTGGGTTATTCGGTTCAGGCTCAGTGTCATCTGCTGGCCTGTGCATGTTGGCTATGGCTTCAGCAAAACTCTCAATAAATTTCTATTTAATTTCTTATGCTGACCCATACTATATCAAAACCATGATGGGGAAAATTGTAATGTGGAAGGAATAACTGTATGCCCTATACACAGAGAAGTAGATGCATGAGAAATCAAGGAAGAAGGCAAAGCATTAGGAAGATCAGGAGAAGTTCCTGTGAAGAAAATTGAACCTTGAAGGAAACTGAGCCTGAAGTGGGAAGGAGAGGAATGACCTCTAGAGGCATTAGGAAGAAGCTGGAGTCCAGAAGCCTGACCAGGACCTTAGTGCTTTATGAAAAATCTGATTTTCTTTGGACTCTAATAACAAACATCATGTGGCACATCTCCTTCAAGAAGAGATCATTAAAAGGAGACAGGTCACAGAAATACCCAGGATTTTTTTTTATCACAAGATCCTTCCAAGAACTACTCCCTTCAAATAAAAGAGTTTAGAGAGGTCTACCAGGAATTACAGGCTGAAGAGTATGATGAGTCAAAGAGTACCCCAAAGTGTAACATAATATTTGCATGGAGTAATTTGCTCTCAAGATGCACCTGGACGATTGATTGCCTTTGACATGGGTGACATACACAAAAAGATTTTATTTATTTTATTTTATTTTATTTTGAACATATAAACCCATTCTGTCAAGTAGCATGTGTGTGTCTGTCCTTCATCTGGATGGTATGTAGTACTGCATTGCCTTTAGAAAAGGTGCTGGTAATATTTTAAACTCCTTGAATGTTTTCCAATGGTCCTGTTGCTCTTCCTTCTTAAAATAAATGTATTGCAAAGAGATGGTGTTTGCTCTTGAAATTCTTTGACAATTATACAACTGGAAATTTTTCACCGTATGAGTTTTTTTTTTAATTTTATTGTTGCACTTTACATTTATGCCACAGCTATCCTTTGGGGCAGTTAGGTGGATAGAGTGCCAGGCCTGGAGTCAGAAAGACTCTTCTTTGTAAGTTTAAATCCAGCCTCAGACGCTTACTAGCTATATGACTCTGGACTCACTTCACCCCATTTGCCTCTCAGCTCCTTTACCTGTAAAATGAGCTGGAGAAGGAAATGGCAGACCACTCTAGCATCTCTGCCAAGAAAACCCCAAATAGGGTCATGAAGAGTCAGACACAACTGAAAAATGACTGAATAACAACAATAACAAATTTCCCCAACTCCTGCTGAACCTTTCCTCATACCAAAGGAAAGCATTTGAACAAAGCCATGGGGACCTTGTTGGACCACTGTATGCCACATTCCACATCTGTAGTCCTCTCTTCTCTCTAGAGAGGAGGAAGGTCTGTTTCCTTAGCATTACCCCACAGTACCGCTAATTTTGCAAGTTTTAATTTAGAAGCCTCAGATATATATATCGCAAGTCCATTTGCCCTTCTTACTGAGATAAAAAAAAACTAATCTGAAAAATAGATCTGGGTGAGGTTGCTTTATTTTTGTACCACAAGAAGTTTCTGTTCCTTAATTTAGCTTTACATATCATTTCTGCTGTCACTGGAATGGGCTGATTTAGTAACTTTATTTTTTTTTAACGTGAAGAAAAAGCACACTATTTGTTGTATCATTGAAGTGGTCCAGAAATGCCATGTTGTCAAGAAAAGGTTCAGAAATGGGTAAAGATGAAGTGTTTGGGGTTGGAAAAACAAAAACCCTGGGATAAGAGTCAAGTTCAAGTTCAGTTTCTGATTCTAATCTGATGAATGACTTTGGGCCAGTTCCCTGGACCTTTCTGTTCCTGTTTCCTCACTCAAAAGAGTAGATGATTTCCAAGGTACTTTCTAGCCCTAAAGTTTTGGGATTTGTCATAGGCACCTTGTTCTGTGACTCATCTGACCTTTAGCAATCCATTACTGTCGTTAGCATATTAGAATGAATCATGGAATGTCAGTCACAAAGGGGAGCTTTTAGAGATTATCTATAAAATGAAAAGGTTTCTCACTTTCCCCCTCCCCTCTTCCTTATACACTTATACCTTAGGAGAAATGCACAAAGTATTGAGAGGTCAGTGCACCATAGTACACACAGAACTGGTCTTGGATTCAGGAAGACCTGAGTTCAAGAAATCCCAGAATTTTGGATTTGGAAGGGATTTCAGTAGCCATCTAGTCTAAGAAGCACCTAAATAGTTATTATCTCTAAAGCATATCTGACAGGCAGTCAGCCCTGGTTTGAATCCCAACCCTATCTCTTACCACCTATGTAAGTAACCTTGTCACTTAATTTCTCTGGATCTCAGTTTTCCTATCTGTAGAATGGGATTTGGACAATGTCCTCTAGGGATCTGTGATTATACAATCATCTGGTTTTTGTTTGACGGTCTCTGACAAAGGGAAACGTGGGTGGGGTGGGATCACAGAATCTTATATTTCAAGCTAGAAGGAACCTTAGAGATCACGTAGTCCAACCTCTTCATTCTGCAGAGGAAGAAATTAAAACGCAAGGAAATGATGTAAACTGAGAGGGAAGAGTCTAAGGATGGTTCCAAGTCTGAAAACTTGAGTGACTGGAAGGATGGTCAGAAAGAGGGATGGTAGGAAGAGAGGAGGGCTTGGGGGCAAAATGGGGTTTTGGGGACAAAGGAAAGCAGGGCTCTGTTGGGCAGGAAACCACTCCTTCCCCCCCCCACACCTTGGAGGAAATGTAATGTTCCCTTCACTGAACATTTCTTCCGCTACCTCTGTGTATTTGTATAAGCTGTTCTGTCATACCTGAAATATGCTCTCTCCCCGTTTCTACCTATTAGAATCTGTGTCTTTCTTTAAGGCTCAGCTCAGGAAGTTTTCTCTAATCTCCTCCCACCAGGGAATGGCCCATCTTGGGCCCATCCCCAAAATGGAGAACCCAAAAGGAACTCACCAGTGGGAGAAAGAGGCAAGCATGGTAGAGGGATATTCCAGGGTAAGAAAGCCCCAGGCACTGAGGGAACTTCCATGAAAGGGCAGCTGAGTGACAAAAACCTTAGCCAGAGGAGAATGAAGCTTGGCCAACTTGGACCCATTCCCAATGTAGATACCCCAATGTTGTAGTCTCCTAAGTCAAAGGACTCTTGCCCCTTCTGCAGCGTTTTCTGGAGGAAGCCACAGACCCCACGCTTTTGTGGTCTTCAATTTCACCTCTTCAGCTCTTTTATGGACAATCCTTCTGCCTGTCCTGCTTGTCCTCAGGTTCTCGTTTCTGGGACATGGCAGAACTGGGGCCTGTCTGGTTCTTGTTGCTGGCTTGCTCAGCCAGAAATAACCTCAGCCAGAATTACTGGTACATTCTCCGTGCTCAAATAATCACATACTTCCCTGTGCATATATTTCATTTCCGTTCTCCCCCCCTACGGCCCAATTAGAATGTAAGTTCACGGACTATTTAACCTTTAGTTTCTTATCCCCAGAACCTCGCACAAAGCAGTATTCAGTAGTAAGTGTTTGACACATGCTTGTTTTTAAGTTGCACAGAATGATAGAGGTAGAAGGGACTTCTTGAGATGGTTTGATTTAACCCCCACATTTGCTAGATGAGGAAACTGAGGCTCAGAGAATGAAAGGGATTTGCCCAGGGTCACACAGGCACTCAGTAGCATTTAAACGTAGGTAACTCCAAATTCAATCCAATTCCACTTTTCTACTATGGCCTAAGATTTATAAGATCGTATGGCTAGAGCTAAAAGGGACCTCAGAGGCCATCTAGAGGCCAGCCCCTTCATTTTACGAAGGAGGAGGCCCAGAGAAGTGTCAAGGTCAAACAGGAAGAGTCAAAGGTAGGGTCTGAATCCAGCTCCTCTGCACTCTGAATCCCATTCCTATGCCACTATCACAATAGGTAGTGGAAATGTCTTTATCCTCACTTTATTAAGCAATTTGCTAAGTGCTGTGGGTATTTGAGTTATTGTTTCCCTGGGATGTTTTTCCTGGAGGAGAAGATTTATGTAGAGGCACAACAGCTGGAAAGATATGTTGGGACCATTTTGCCTGAGCAACCCTAGGGCCAGGAGCCAGGAGCCAGGTGGGCCCCAACCTTGCCACACCCCAGAAAGAGGAGCCTGAGCATCTTTTGACAGAAACTGGAGAAAAGAAGCAGGACAGGTAGCAGTACTATTCATAAGAGAGCTGAAGAGGTAAAGCTAAAGGGCAAATATTCAAGCCTAGGACTGGAGGTGGGGGCTGTGACTTTCTCCAGAAGGGCCAAAAGCACTTTGATGCAGGAGATTACAACACTGGGGCCTCCACGTTGGGAGTGGGTCAGCCATGTTGTGTTCCCCTCCTGGCTGTGCTGCTGAGGCTATGATCTTTGTCACCGTGACTCAACTCCCCTTTCATCCTAGGAGTTCCTGGGGCCTTCTGAGTCTACAATAGCCCTCTGCCACGTTTGCCTATTGGAGGCCTCCATTTTGGACATGGCCCCTGTGTACCCATACTTCATTCCCCTCCTGGCTGGGCTTCTCTTTGGGAGTCCTCTTTGTTTCCATCCTTTTCTCGTTCCTTCTAATGCCTTGTCATTCCCACTGGCATGTAAGATCGTTGACGGCAGGAACTGGCTTTCTTTTTGCTTTGCTTAGCACAGTACATAGCGCTTCATGAAAGCTTATTGCTTACCTACCGTATGCCAAGGGCAGAACTGGATTAGAACCTGGTGACAGGTGACCATGTTACCCACTGCAGAGAAAGGCCTCATTTGCCATGGGCAAGCTCGTGGTTGGCCACGGCCAGCGATGCTTCCCAGGGCTCCTGTCAGAGCCTGAGAAGCCCTCCTCCAAGCTCCTGGGCTGGCTTTTACTTCTCTCTGGCTAGGGGGTGAGGCAGAAACCCTTGCCAGCTGTGTCCCAGATCATGAAAGTCCTTGGCTTGAGCACCAACTCTGAACCTTTTATTGTGGTTTATTTTCCTAAATAGCTACTGGGGGAAATCCCTATAAAATCCTGGTATGAGGTAGGGGTGAGAGTGGGGGATAGAGATGTGGCTACATAAATTGATGCTGGGGGCAAAAAAAAAAATTGCTACCTACCCTTTTTCAAGCCCATAGTTGGCTCTAATTGGGTGTGGAAGTTTCTGTGGGGGAAATGGGGAAGGATCTGCAGTTTCATTCTATAGAAGAATGGCTTTTATGCTGGGGTTGTCTTCAAGTCAGGGAAATGGGCTTCCCATCTAGATCTGACCTCTGCAGGTACAGCTCCCATCTTTGTAAAGCAGACTGGAAATTTAACTTTAAAAGCATTGTTCTTGAGAACTGCTGGCCTTTGAAAGTGGAGCCTACTGTGTGTGGGGGGACTGGGGCAGCTATTTGGGTTGGGGTGGAGCAGAGATGTGGGGAAACTCCAAACAGCTTAGGGAACTTTCCCGGTATTTGAAATTTTTAAAGAGAACCACAAAAAACACACAACAGAATTCCTCAGGAAGGGAGAGTGATGGAGACACAAAGAGATAGAGAGAGACAGAGGGAGAGAGAAAGGAAAAGAGAGAAAGCAAGAAAGAAAAAAGAAAACTGAAGAAAAATAGAGAAAGCAAGAGAGAGAGAGAGAGAAGGAAAGAAGAAAGAATGAGAGGGGAAAGAAGAAAGGAAGGAAGGAAGGAAAGAAGGAAGAAAGAAAGGAAGGGAGGGAGCAACTAGGTGATGCAGTGGATAGAGCACTGGCCCTGGAGTCAGGGAGACCCTGAGTTCAAATCCGGCCTCGGACCAAACACTTGACACTTGCTAGCTATGTGACCCTAGGCAAGTCATTTAACCCCAATTGCCTAAAAAAAAAAAAAAGAAAGAAAGAAAGGAAGGAAGGGAGGAAAGAAGGAAGAAAAGTT